ATATTTATTTTTAATATTCTTTTTTTAAGCCACACTATTTCCTTTTAAAGAAAAGCTACCTGCATGGTGGCAAAGATTAAATCTTGTGTGCATATCTGATTCTCTGAAGAAATTTTGTTCATTTTCTTGAATGCATCCAAACCATTGCTTTATTCCATTTAGTTTAATCCGATGGTTCTCAAAGCAGCATTTGTGTCACCTGAGAACTTGGTAGCAATGTAAATTCTTGACCTTGACTGGAGACTTACCGAATTAGCAATCAATGTTTTAACAAGAAGCCCTTCAAGTGATTCTAATGCCCATTGAAGTTTGAGAACCACTGGCTTGACCTATTAATGACTGCAATCAGCAATATGTGTTTACTGTTTACTGCAGAGGCTGGAAATAGCCACAGACCCAAATGGTGCTTCCCAGGCCTTGGAGAAATCAGAATGCAACCTGCTCTGAAGCCAAAACAAATTAAGAATACATAGAGCATAGACAAGATTCTCCATCTGTAGACTGCACACTCCCTATAAAGTTTGTTATATATGAGCCTGTTAGGATTTTTCCAGTTGCAAGGAACAAAAACTCAAGACAGTTTAAGCAAAAATGGGAGACCTATTTCTTTCAGGTGAGCTCATTGGTCTAAGATCTTTAGCCCCTTTTCGCTTAAATCCTATGATTATACATTATTAAAGTATCAATAATTAATACTTTAAAATCACTGTATTTCTGGGTGAAATGAAAATTAATAATCCAGCAATTTTAAAACCGAGAAGCTGAAATTCATCTTGAATATATACAATTTAACAAATCTTAAAAATAGGGATCTAAAGGAGTTTTAAGAAAACATTTTTTGACATGACAATCTTCATCCAGCCTGATTTTCAAAAACCAACCAAAAAACTATGCTCCATTTGCAAAGCAATTTGTCTTCTCCAAGCATATTTCAGGCTGGAGAATAAGAGATGTAACAGACACTCAGAGGGGCAGGAAATGCTTTTTCCCTTGCATATATTAACGTCATTTGGGACGGGAAGCGTCCTTTACAACTACGATTGTGGCGCCATCTTGAGTTCCTGAGAAGGATAGACGACTGAAATGTTCACAGACTGGATTATAAAAGAACTGAAGGAATTGTAAATAAAATCCAAAAGACTCGTAAATGATTAAGAATGAAGGAACATGAAACGGAAGCCTGAATAAATGAACCCAAAGAATACTCTCCAGATTTCTGCAACTCTACCTGTGATGGCCTCTCTAGTCCATAGCCAGAGCTCCCACCCCAGATCCTGCTACTTCAGCTGTGGTCTGGGACAACAGCTTTAGCGTCACTTGAAAACTAGTTAAAAATCGAGATTCTTGGGCCCAATCCCAGAGCTAATGAATGATGATCTGCATTTTCCAGGTAGTTTTTATGCACACTGAAGTCTAGGAAACTGCTCTCTATGCCTTCCTTCACAAAGAGGGTAGCGGAGGTGGGATGGAAAAGGGAGACAGGCACCCCACCAATGGATAGAACTGCACAGTCTTGAGAAGATGAAATGTATTAAACTTAAATATCAGCAAGTTATGAATCCAAGCCATAAGAAAAGGCAGAGTCGTGATCATATTAAAAATACTATACGTTTTTCAAAGACAATACTTTGAGGACCTCTGTCTTAATCCACAGCTTACTAAAGACCAAACGCTTTCTTGCCTTGATTCCACCGATCATGCTCCTTGCTTCTACCAACTCAGCAAGACTGTAATGTTTCCTGGATCTCATCAAGGAGCTTTCCTCTTCCTGGATTCCCACTGCATTCTCCCCACTTCCTTATTATACTCTTCTAACTCTTACTATTGTACAAAACGTTGTCCACCCATTGTAGCCCCTTTTCTGGATTGTCATTTCCTTGGCAAGAACCATACTTATGCATTTGAATTCACTTGTTTGTTCAGTAATTTATTCTAGTACTAAGCACCTACTACATGCCTGACACTATAGATTTGATTAAAATACGAAACATATAATCCCAACTTTTGTGGAGCTTATGTATTTGTAGAGTTGAAATGTCAATTGCAATAGAACATAAATATTATGTTAGGTAAAGTAGGGTGTTTTGGGGAACTTACCTGGAGCCACCTAACTTGGGTCTGGAAGGGTTACCTACAATCTCAGCTGAAGGACACAGAGTTAACCAGGCAAGGTGGGGGGAAGTACAAAGTGTTCCAGGAAGAGGGCATGCCAGTATCATTAAAACATAATCTTGGTCATGGATAATGCCAAAAATAAATGTGTTTGACAAAATTTGGAGTTTTGTATTGCCTCAAGCATTCCAGTCAGTCACTTGGCAAACTGACTGGCTATTTAGAGTTGCACCAGTTATCTTTTTAAGGAGAGAGATGGCTTTCAAAGTATTGCCTATAACTATTTTTGTTTAGAATAACTGCTACTTTTGAAAAGCATTTTCAAACCCAGACCCCAGAGCTTGCTATTCCACTCTAAGAACTAGCAAAAAGAGCTTTACCTGAGTTAACAGAAATTTCAAAGAAATTAAACATCATGGAATTAAACTTGGAAGCTGAACCCTCTGTTAAGTCAGGAATGGTAAGTAACACTCTAAAAATTGGGGTTGTCTATTTTCTCTTATTATGTCAGTTTCTATGATTGAGCCTATGCGATTAGGTATATACAAATTAAGAAATGTTACACTGTTTGACTGACCTTTATCATTATGAAGTGTCCCTCTTTATTTCCAGAAATACTCACTGTCTTAAAGTCTAATTTGTCTGATATTAGAATATTTATCTAATAAAAGATTCAAATCCAGAATATAGAATATCTGGAATAATAGAATATTATTTGAAAGAGGGCCCAGAGACTAAATAGGCACCTTAAAAAAAAGAGGACATCTAGATAGCCAATAAACATTAAATGAGTTCAACCTCATTAGTCATCAGGGAAATGCAAAATGAAACCACAATGATGGCTGAACATACATTAAGTAAAAATAAAAATTTTAAAAAAAGACTTGGGAATATCAAGTCTTTGCAAGGACTAGGAAGACCAGAATTCTTCCACGCTTATGGTGGCAGTGTAAAAACTGAACAACTTTGGCAGTGCCAAAGCTGAACACATTCCATTCCATAAATGCACACACATGTGCACCCAAAGACATGCATAAGAATATTTCTAGGAAGTGTTCCTAACAGGTCCAAACAGAAAACAACACAATGCCCATCAATGGGAAGAGGAATAAAATAGCCTATTCACATACAGATGCTGCTGGTCTTACAATGGAGCTGCATCCCAATAAACTCACAGTAAGTCAAAAATATGTTAAGTCAAAAAATGCACTTGACATCCAGGTAAACCCATCATAAAGCTGAAAACTTCTATGCTGAACCCTCTGTTAAGTCAGGGATGGTCTGCCATTAACCATTACACAGCAATAAAAGTGAAGGAACTATTTTGACACTTACCATGGATCAATCAGCCTCACAATACTGAGGGAAAGAAGTCATACACAAAAGGGTATCTAATATATATAAAGTCCAAAAACAGGCAAAACCAATTTATGTGATAGAAGTCAGGAGCTAATAATTGGAAGAGAACAAGAAGGAGCCTTTAGTGCTATAACCATGTTCTATTTCATTTGGTGTTTGGGTGTGGTTACGAGTGTGTACGCTTTCTTAAAAATTCAGAGCCTAAATTTGTCGTTTTTGTACATATACTACAATAATATGTTTACACATTTAAAAAATGATTTAACTATATGAGGGGATGTGGCAGAAAAAAGGTAGTAGGGAATGTCTAAAATTGATAAACCAAGAAATAGCTATGAAGGCATATTGTTTAAAAAAATGAGATGCAATTACACCAACTAGAAGAGTTTAAAATCATTGTTCCTAAGGTTTGAAGGGGATTGCTTTTCAGTTGTTTTGGCACTTTAAGTGACATGCATATGCTATGTATATGGAAATGGTCAGAACATTCCAATTCTTCACAAAGGAAAAATCACTAACGTAGGTTTAAAAAAAAAGAGACAGCTTCCTGCAGCTAACAATGTCAAAGTCCATCTGTTAGAAGAAAATTCATCCTGCTTCTCAAAACAAATTATGATTTTAAACACCAAGTTTAAAAGTTAAAACTTTACATAAGGTAATGACAGATGCTATCGTATCACCGGTTTTAAGCCAAATGTTAATCATTCAGAAAGGGGGGAAAGAGACAAATGCTAGATATATTTTATTCTATTAATGCAAAACAAACTACCATCGCTGTTTCATACTCCTCATTACATAAAAACTTGTTATGAGAACACAGTGATATGTCTTGGTATGCAGCATGGTGCTCATGGATGAAAGTTCTTATTCTTTGCTTTATTCTTCGGATTAAACTACCATTTCCCAGTGTAGTTTCTGGAAGGTGTTCATAGGAATTACGTAGAAAAAGATGTTCTGTGGTCAATCACGTTTTGGAACCAATGGATTTCTTTATTGTGGGTCTTCTAAGAACCACCATTACATAATGTGATTCTCCAGAAGGATCTTCCTCTGTGCCTCAAATGGTGAGGCACTATAATATTTGTTACATAAAAAAGAAAAGAATTAAGAAAAAAAGCCCAAATTGTTGTTTTGATGGCAAGAATCATAACAAAAGCAATTATAAGGCAGCTAGGAGAATACTTCTACGAGTAGGTTTAAGGTAATCCAGAAATCTGAAAATCTGAAACCTCCCCATGCCTTAAAATATTTTCCAAGACGAATAGTATCTTTTAAAGTCTCCTGGATGTTTGGTAGCATTTGTCAGGTACACAGATTTTACTGAAATTTTCTAACAGAGAAATTCATTCAATTAAAAACCACACTTGACAAAACTTTAAAAAAGAGACACTGTGCTAAAAGCATTTTCTGAATTTATTTTTGTGTTTTTCAAGTCAAGACTAAACTATGTATGTTTTCAAGTCAAGGCTGAATTATAAATGAACTTCTCAGTATTTAGATACCAGAATAAAAAGAACAAGCAAAAGTTGTATAGGATATCTGAGTTTTGTTTTCTTTTTTTTTTTTTTTTAAATCTGTACAGAAAATAAGTATACAAGTTTGCTAAACAGAAGTGGTAAAAACTGAATGTTATGTATTATGGAATTCAGTACATCAGTTTACTTCGGTAGCCAGTGATTGTTATAGTTAATTCTGCAAAAAAACAAAACCAGTTATGCAGAAACAAGAGTATAAAATGCCCCTTTCAGAAGCTCAGTTTGAGAAACTGATTTCATATCTAGCTTATTGATTATACTCAGTTTCAGTTCTCCCTGGGTAAATAATACATAAAATCATTAATGATGTTTTGATGAACTGAAATCATCTTCTCTTAGGATCGTTCAACATAATAACCCAAATATTAAAAAGTTATTCAAGATTCACAGAGATAAAACAGTGCCTCGGAAACATAATTCACCCATGTATATATAATAATTTTAGAACATACTTTTTAAACATAAAATCACAGTCAAAGACAGTGATAGCATTGCACACTCAGTGCATTACTTCATGTAGTGCCTTCCTATGGCTCATCTGGAGTTTAATACCAAATAACCACCACACTTCTAATAAATGGGCTTCTAACACACACAAATTTGTCTAATTCTTTAAAAAATCTAAAACTCCCATAAGACCTTGAGCCTGGCATGTTAAGGACTTTGTGTTTTAATATCCCAAACATTGGGAAGATTAGTGTGATACATGGTAACCCCTCCTTGTAAGCAAGACTGCACATATACTTTAAACAACTCAATACTGCAGACTGAGAGGGGTACATTTATCATTTAGTTAAGGAAAATCAAAATGGCTTTCCTGGAGTTAAATGCACCCAAGACACACACAAGGAATGAGTATTACTGTGGCAGCTAAAGAAATCTGCCACTGTGTAATAAATGCTGTTATGCAATGATGTTATACATTTAAATAATACATTATGATTTGTTTCCAACTACCATGGGGCACAGGAAAATGAAACTGAAGACTACCTGGCTGGAACAGGACAAATGATAACCTGGTTTTAAATACGGTTCTTCATTGAAGGAAAAGATAGAGCCATAAAAGTCCAATTAGCTGACTTCAAATGGTTTACATCCCAGGATGAATCAGGTTACAGTGATTGAAGCCCAATTTAATTTAGGCAGGTTTTTAACCACAAGAATAAGGACATTCTTAGTACATATTAATAATTAAACCAACATATACACAATTAGCAATATCCTATATAATACTAAATGTTTTAACAACTTGTTCTCCATTATTCTATATCTAGTTAATTTGTTGCTTTGTTTTTTTTTTTAAAAAAAACCAAGCTCAACTTTATTTTACAATGTACTTTGAATTTCTAAGTGTATTCTGTAATTATTTCATTGAAGCAGGTATAGTTCTCCAGATTTCTCTAAGAGCCAAACTCAACTGTATCTTCTGTTATCTGTTTGAATTCATAGTTGCCTCTGCCATCCATATGCAGGTAGTACTATGGGAAAGAAGGGGGAAAAAAGTCAGTAACTAAGTGAATACAGTACTGTCCTTTATGAAAAGTAAAATACAGACTTCCTCATTATTTTAAGGGAGCTAAATCTATAAGCATCCCACAAATTAGAATGCTTCCTAAACTCCATGACCAAGAATCTCAGCTACCAGTAGGTTAAACTGTGCTAAATGCAGGACTGTTCCATATGTCAGTCAGTATTGCTTCCTGTAGCCTGATTTCCTAATCAGCTCGGAATCTCTAGCTTAAGGCTTTTTATTTGTTTTTAATTTAGTAGAGGGGAAAAAGAGCTATAAAAAGTGCCTATATATCCTAACCACTGAAGACACAACAGCAGTTACAAAGCCTTCTGTTTTTATTTAGTGGCTTATTTGCAGAAAGCTTTCTGAGTTTCCATTTTCTGTATTACTATTTCTTAGCTATCCTGGCCTCTCTCATTCTAGTTGTGTTCCCCTCCTTCACATGATCACTGGCCTGATGATTATTTTGCTACTTGTCTATACCTCCAAAAGAAGAGGAAAGTGAAACCCAGATGCTCTCAATTCCTCTCAATGTCCTATGGCTATAATATTTATGAACTTCTGACAAAACACAAAGGCTTGGCTATATTTTAAAGGGCTTTCATTTCTAGTTATTCAATTTCTTGTTCAGCTCATGAAAAACTGACAAATTATAATATGCAATAAAATAATAAAAGCTATCTTTAAAAGTCATACAGTTATATACAATTTCATTGAATTTTATTAAGTACTTTCATATAGGCTACCTGTCTAATTTTTATGGTAAGCTAAGAGATAGGCAAGTAAGGATCAATAACTTCATTATACAAAGGAAGTAACTGAGGCTAGAAACACTGGTGCCTGAACCCAGGCTCTCCAACTTCAAATCCTATGCTCTTCATTTTATCACTTGTAGACTATCATCTACATCCTAAAGCTCTTGAAGGTAAAGACTGTAATTAATTTGCATCCCTTATGACACTTAGCTCAGTATCTGGCAAAAAAAAGGGTCCTTAATCAGGTTATGTGTTTTGTGTTACCCTTACCATTATTCCAATTTTTCTCAAACCCTTGCTTTTACCTAAAATTTCTATATCATTTAGGAAGAAAAAAAGGAAAAAGGAAGGAAAGAAGAGAAGAAAGGAAAGAGGGAAGGGGGAAAGACAGAAAGGAAAGAAGAAAAGAAAGGAAGAAAGGAAGGGACGGAGGGAGGAGGAAAGAAAATAAAGAGAATTAAACTGGGTTTACTTCCAGGTTTTGAGCATTTTACATTAAGAGTTGAAAAGAACTGCCATAGTGAGAATGGCACTACTGAAGCAACAGAACAAGTAACACACGTGCACCAATGTAAGCCTCACTTGAATATCTTTGTAAATTATAGTCACTACCTAATGAATCCTATTTACTACAGTGCATTGATAAACATAGCTGACATTACTCAATCTTCCCCCTTGTAGTCCTGACCTCTATTAAAAATGCCCCTAAATTTTTTGCCATCTAATTCTTCTTAAGACTTTTTCTCCTCTGTCACTTCTGGATAAGAAAAGTTTGCTTCACCATATTTGTGATAAGACTATGCAAAGTTTAGTCAGTTACTATTAACAGATAAGAGTCACTGTAAAACTGGAGAAAAAATGTTACACCATTGCTTTCAAAACCGACAACTACAATATTTAAGAAAATCCTATTTTATAAAACAAATAAAACCACCTTTTCTCCTTAAGACATATGTTTAAGGGAATACAAACCATAAAATTTAAAACCATATTCACCAGAATTCTTATTTTAAAGAAAATAAAATTTCGCTGTACCATTCAATGAAAGAAATACAAACCTCATGATGTTTCCAAAGAGATTTCCTATGAGACACAGTGAAGAGAGTGATGCCAACCTAATACAAAGAAAACGATTTAGGTTTAATCAATAACAGAGTCACAAATTAAACTAGTCCATGTACTTTAAGCTGTTAAGAGGACTGTCTTCAGTGATTAAAGTTAAAAAGCAGTGTCAATGAGAAAAAAATTACAACTGATGCCAAATGTTTATAGCAATGGAAAACACTGGCCATCAACCACATAATAAAAACTACCAGGTACTGGCATTAAGTGTATTATTCTGTTTTGGGCAAAAAACATATCTCCTAGCATGTCTCCTATTTTATTGTGAAAAATATATGAGAGGAATATGAGAAGGATAAAAATAGCCAAAGGTCAAAATCAGGAAAAATTAAATCAGTATAGTATTGTTGACAGTCAACTTGCTTCTCAAATACAGGGTCATAATCCCCTACCATAAACTATTGTTTTGGAATGTGTGTTGGAATTCAGATTTTGAAAATGTATTATTTAACACCCCCAGAGAGTTCTGAGGCAGAATTTTGTAATTAAACACATAAATGTTTCAGCAGCAACACATATGGACACTGATATTAAGTGAGACAAATAGAGTTTAAATATCTTTTGTTAGCGTAGGCAAAGTTTTACCCAGTGAACTTGCTACAAAATTATGAAAAATGTTTTGAATTTAAGCACTTTCTGGATTTCAGATTGTGAATACGTATTTATAGATCTGTACTTCAGATTTTCAAAAACAAAACAAACCAGAACAAAAACATTAATAGATAACAGCTGTAGTTGCTCTAGATCAGTGGTTCTCAACCAAGGCGGGGAGGTTGGTGATATCTGTCCCTTGGGGGGACATTTGGCAATGACTGGAGGCATTTTTATTGTCACAACTGAAAGTACTACTGACATCTAATGGGTAGAGGCCAAGGACGCTTTCTAAACATCCTCCAGTGCACAGCAACCCCCAGCCCTGCCCAACCAGGAATTACCAGTCAAAAGGTCAATAGTGCCAAGACCGAGAAACCCCACTCTGGGTCACTGTTCCTCTAAGTGGATCACTCAAGGCTGGTAAATACATGCTTAGGGCATCTGGGAAACTTTTACCATGGTTTCTTAATTTCATTTTCATTTTGATGATAATTTTTAAAAGATCATTATAAGTATATTCTGGGTCATTTTTACCATGAGATTGAAGTTCCTAAGTTTGTATTTACACCTCTGATTGCCAAAGTGATAAAACATAAAACTTCAAATGTGTTTGCCTGCACTTTAAAAAGGAACTTAAATTGGTTAGGAATTGCCTAATAAAATAAACATATTATCAGTATTAATAAAACATATATTTCAACCATATCACACTTTTCTGATTTTTCAAAGCTCATTTCAGGTATTATTTCTCTGTTCATGATTCTACAATAGTTGGATTAGATATCTACTTAATGCACACATTATATGAGGATATAAAAAATATATGGAGTATATGTCAAAATAAAAAGCAAAATGCAAAATAATAAAATTTGAACCTCAGATTCTATCTTTCCTTAGTTAAATCCCAAACCACTGGTTTAGTTTCATCTAAATGGTATCATAGGTCTCTTTAATGTTGCAAGTTTGAAACTGTATTTGTTTTGTCTGTATTTAATGTGTAACTTTATATTAATTTTGTAGCTGTAAAAGAGCTCTAGGCTTAAGGAGTTCACACCTCATTTCATGTTTATACATGTTTAAGTGCTATCACAGTAATTTAAATTATCAATGAGGCCCCATATGAATTTTCTTTTAAATGGAACTGATGTTTTACAGAATTTATACAGTCTTCTGTGGGGATTTCAAGCCTATACCTAGGGCATAAGAGGAAATCACGTGGTCAAAATTACCAGCAAAGAGCCGCTATGTTATTGAATTAAGTGCAGACTACATGGTTTTATGTATATGAGAATACCATAAACATCTCTAATACCTATGAAATTTGAAAACCAACATGAACAAATGTATAATTATATATTACCAAGGCAAATTCAGAATAGAAAATAAATCATTAACAAGATAAAATCAGTAGTTAAAATCTTTCTACAAAGAATACCAAACTTATTCTTTTATCATCACACCAGTGCTTCTTAAACTTTAATGTGAATTTGAATCATCTTAGAATTTTGTTAAAATGCAGATTCTGGTTTAGCAGGACTTAATAGTAGGAATTCATACTATATATACTCAATATGACCTTTATTATTTATTGAGAACTCCCAAAGAACGAATACAAAATGTTAAAAATCCTCATCTACCTCATTTACTTATATAGAAACTATAAAATGGCTAGGATATACTACATTTGTTCCAAAATTTAACCACAGTATAGATGTTGGTAACAATTTCTCAAAGAAAGAAAAAAAAAGAAAGAAAATTGATACTACTGAATAATTACTTAAAGAATGGAACCAATAAAGACAGCCTCAGACTTGGCTACTAAAAGCAGCTTTGGTAAAATAGTGCTCAGGCTAGAAAATAAAACGAATAAATTAAAAATTGCCAAATAATTATTGTTGAGTCTTATTCATTTAAAAAAAACCCTAATTTTAGATAAAGTTAATGGAATAAATTAAGAAAAGCGCAATTTATTAACTCTGAGTATAAGTAATGAGGTAAAGGGGAATAGATTTAAATATGTTGTTTTATATCTCATTAATATATTAATACTAATATATTAATGCTAATATATTAATGAGATATAAAACAACATATTTAATATTAATGCGATATAAAACAACATATTTAAATCTATTTCTATATATAGATTATATACAGAATTGTATTTATAATTATTTTTCTTTTACTCATATGTTTTAAATCTTTATTAAAACAAGAAATCTTTGGGTAGAAATTGTGTTACTTTTTGACTTGGAATCTTCTCTTTGGACAGATTTGGACACAGTTTACACTAGGAAAGAGGCCATGGCTTCTCAAACTGAGCACCTGCACACTTACCTTTCGACAATGACTGTAAATGTAGCCTTCCACGTCGACACTAACTGCACTTGTGCATTCGTCCAAAATGGCAAACTGGGGTTTATGATAAAATAATCTTGCCATCTGAAGCATAAAAAAAATTTTTTTGTGTAAAACACAGGCAGAGACCTAAAATTAATAAGCCGAAACAAACTTAAGTTAAATATGCATTTGCAGTCTTGTAAATCAAAAGTATAAAAATTATTCTAATTCAAAATATCTACTTCCCAGAAATAGAAACAATATAAACATAACTGTTTTCACTGCCATCCTGAACAAAGGGAAAAATGTACTTCATGGGAAATATTAATTGCTCAGAGTAAAACACAAAACTTAAGACTGATGAGAGAGGGAGTTTCAAACTAGTATTAAAGAAAGCTCACTAAACAAATAAGATTACAGAATACATATTTTAACCAAATCTCAGAATTCAGACTAGATGACTCTGATGCAAAAAGGTCTCTATTTTAAATATTTTATTGCTTAAGTAATAGTACCAATTACTATTCTCACCAATAATTTTTTATTGTACCTGTTTTATATCCCCATTGTCAGTTCTGGTTGTGCTCATTTTTTTAAGCCTTTGCTAATTTTATAAATGAAAATTAATATCAAAATTATAGCATACATTTCTTTGACTATCAGGAATGATGAACATTTTCCCACATTTTTGTTCCCATGTATTTTCTGGGGACTGTTTATTCTGATCTTTTGTGTAACAGATATTCCAATTTTTGTCATCTGCCCCCTGAAAAGATCTCCACGTTTAAGACCAGTGGGGCAGTCTTCTATCCTTAATTTATCTTCTCTGCAACATTCTCCTTAGAAGACCACTCCATCCTTCTTGAGAAAGTGATAGTGAAACCATGCACGTAAGTTTCCTCCTACTTCTGAGGATCCTTTTTCAGTTTCTTTTCTAGCACTTTCTCCTCCACTTGACCATTAAATACAGGAGCTCCTTAGGGCTAATTTCTAGGTCTCCTTCTCTTTTTCCTGTATTCTATCTCTCAGTGATCTCATCCAATCTTCTGACTTCAAATAGTATTTACATTCTATAAACTTGCAATATGCATCTCTCACTCATACTTCTCTATTTCCAGATATATAAAAATTTCGGCCAGGCACAGTGGCTCATGCCTATAATCCCAGCACTTTGTGAGGCTGTGGCAGGAGCATTGCTAGAGATCAGGAGTTTGAAACCAGTCCAGGCAACACAGGGAAACCACATCTCCTCTTAAAAAAAAAAAAAAAAAAAATTAGCCAAGCATGATGGTGTTCACCTGTGGTTCCAACTACTCAGGAGGCTAAGACAGGAGGGCTTGAGCCCAGTAGGTCAAGGCTGTAGTGAGCTATGATCAGGCCACTGCACTCCAGCATGGCTGAAACAGCAAGATGCTATCTCAAAAAACAAAAATTTAAAATTTGACACATTTAAAAAATTAAAAATAAAAATTCCTATTCGAGTTTTTACTTGGGTATCTCACAAGACTCTCAAATGTTAAAAGTCTAAAACTCAAATGTAATTTCTAGATTTTCCCTCTAAAAGCCACTCCATTCCCTAATCTTGAACACTTCAGCAAATAAACTATCAAACAGTTGTTCCAGCTAGAAAGCCAGGAGTCCTCCCTGGTCTGGTCCTTCCCTTTTCCTCTTCCCTTTCACTCTCCCACCACTATTTTTAGAATGAACTAAAAAGTCCATTCAAGTAAGAAATGTGAAGTTTCAAGTTCACTCCCTTTTCCTCATCTCCACAAACATGCCCTTAGCCCAGAGCACACTCATCTCCTGTCTGGATAGACTACAAGTAAGCTCCTACCACTTCTGCTGCTCCTCTCCAGTCCACTCTCCATATAACCAGAGAACATCTTTCACACATGTCAATCAGGGAACTTCACTCTCTGGCTTAAAACCTTTCAACAACTTCCCATTTCACTTAAAATTCAAACTCCTTACCATGGTCTACAAGACCTGCATGATCTTATTCCTATTTACTCTAACCTCAACATTCTAGCCAACACCACCTCCTCTCAACTGCTAGGAACAAGGTGCCTTATGCCTTAGAGGCTTAAGCACACGTCATTCTTTTCGTATGTCTTAAATGCCTTACTCTGCTCCTTAGAGCTTTCAAATTTCTGCTTATAATGTCATATTCTCAGGCAATCCTACCCTCATCCCTAACCACAATCCAAGTGGGTCCTTTCTGTAACACCTCTGAAGCACTTCATATATTGTGAATTGTGTATTTGTCTTTGTCTACCTGCCTAAGCTATAAGATTTACAAAAGCTGGGGCAGAACATGGTGGTTCATGCCTATAATCCCAGCACTTTGCGGGGCTGAGGAGGGCAGATCACTTGAGGCTAGGAGTTCGAGACTAGCCTGGCCAACATGGTGAAACCTTGTATCTACTAAAAATACAAAAATTAGCCAGTCATGGTGGCGCATGCCTGTAGTCCCAGCTACCTGGAAGGCTGAGGAACAAGAATCGCTTGTACCTGAGAGGTGGAGGTTGCAGTGAGCCAAGCTTGTGCAACTGCACTCCAGCCTGGGTGACACTCAGCCTGGGTGAGACTCTGTCTCAAAAAAAAAAAAAAATGCAGAAAAGCAGAGACTGTTTTAATCACTACTACGTACTGAATACTTATATATGGGTAGCATTCAAATATCTAATAAATGAATGACTAAAATAGCTTTCCACCTATTTGCATGAGGTGAGGAAGGGGAGGCAGCAAGTATAGACTATGAAGAAGTTCAACTGTGCAGAAAATGAAAGGTACAGACCACAGGGAAGCTTTGGCTAAGGCTGAGTTTGCTTTTTAGATCAAAGAGACCTGAAAAATGTCTTTCTGCAAGAGAAGGACTAGAAGAGGTTAAATGTAGGTGGGGGCTGAGGGAGGGGACATAACTGAAGGAAAAGGATGTGATCAAGTCAGAAGACAGAGGGTCTATAAACATAGATGGAGATATTAGCCTTTCTCAAGAAAGATGACATATCTTCCACAGACAGTGGAAGTAGGAAGGTCAGGACAGAGCAGCACACACTTAATTAAGAGGAATGGTTATCTGAGGGCATTCCACCAATGTCTCTCCTCTCTGCTCCCAAAAGACTCTGTGCATACCTCCCTCCTCACACTTAGTACATGACATGGACATTTTCTCATCACGTGTCTCTCTCTCCCACTATGTTGTCAACTACTTAATGCCACAATACAAGAAAGTTGTAAAGCAGGAGTGTCCAATTTTTTGGTTTCCCTGGGCCACATTAGAAGAATTGTCTTGGGTCACCCATAAAATACACTAACACTAACGATATCTGATGAGCTTAAAAAAAAAATCACGGCTGGGTGCAGTGGCTCATGAGGTCAGGAGATCGAGACCATCCTGGCTAACACAGTGAAACCCTGTCTCTACTAAAAATACAAAAAATACAAAAAAATTAGCCGGGTGTGGTGGCGGGCGCCTGTAGTCCCAGCTACTCGGGCGGCTGAGGTAGGAGAATGGCGTGAACTCGGGAGGTGGAGCTTGCAGTGAGCCAAGATCACGCCACTGCACTCCAGCCTGGACAACAGAGCAAGACTCCGCTTCAAAAAAAAAAAAAAAAAAATTCACGCCCACAAAAAATTCTCATAATATTTTAAGAAAGTTTATGAATTGTGTTAGCTTGCATTCAAAGCTGTCCTGGGCTGCATGCATCCGTGAGCTGCAGGTTGGGCAAGTTTGTTGTAAAGTGAATAAGCATATGCACACTGGAGCCATACTGCTTGCCTTAAGCCTGACAAAGCCCCCACCATCAGCTTTAACATTTACTAGCTGTCTTTGCTTGGCCAGTTACTGAACTGTACAGAAGTTCAATCTCCTCTGTAAAATGGGGCATTTCGGCCAGGCGCAGTGGCTCACACGTAAAATCCCAGCACGTTGGGAGGTCAAGGCAGGTGGATCATTTGAAGTCAGGAGCTTGAGACCAGCCTGGCCAACATGGTGAAACCCCGTCTCTACTAAAAAAAAATACAAAAATTAGCCAGGTGTGGTGGTGCTTGCCTGTAATCCCAGCTACTTGGGAGGCTGAGGCAGGAGAATCTCTTGAACCTGGGAGGCGGAGGTTATGGTGAGCTGAGATCGTGCCACTGTACTCCAGCCTGGGTGACAGAATGAGACTCTGTCTCAAAGAAAAAAAAACAAAAACAAAACAGGAGGGGTGGCATTCCCAGTTCTTACCTCACAGGACTGCTGTGAGGATGAAATGAGATCACCTGTGTAAGGTGCCTGACATACTGTCTGTCATCTATTCAGCACTCAACAAAAATTAGCTGTCATTGAACTGAAATAATAGCTTATCTTCTTTGAGAAGTAGAAGGCAAGTTATTCTGCCAAGTGCGGTGGGTTAAGTAATGGGGTAGAAAACCCAAAATTGGTAGTTTTAAAATGATTGTCATGAAAAATGAGAGGAGGATAAAAATAAGTAAAATGATTGCTAAGCCATGCTGTGAGCCCATCTGATGTTTTTTAGCTGTGCTCAGAAGAGTGGTTAGAGAAGTGCCAAGGCAAAGAACTGCCAAGGCAAATAATTGGGTTGGGATTTAGGTAATAGGATGACACAAAAAGTGGGAAAGGAAGTTAAGGGGAAGGGATGAACTGTTCATTCCTTAAGAAATATATCTTATCTCCTATAGGCCATGCCCTGGATTATGAAGTCTGTACTGGACAGTAAAGGAGGCAGAGACAGAAAAGGACTGATCAGTTGTAAGAAAAGGGAAGCATCAATATTCTAGAGATCTCAGGGAATTTGAGAAAGGGGCATAGTTGCTTAAGGTTAAAAAAAAAGATTTACAAAAATGGATTTAAAAAAACACTAAAAATTTTATAACAGTGGTATCTCTGGTAAAGGGGTTTGGCCCAATTTATACTTAAATAAATATTCCACTTTTCTATCATATATACTTTTTCATAATTCAAAATAAGAAAACTCATTAGAAATTCATAAGAAAACTCATAAGAAAATTCATAAGAAACTCATAAGAAAACTCATAATTCAAAATTAGAAAACTCAAAATAAGAAAACTAAATAGAAGAGCAAGAAAAAATGGAGTGGAAAAGGTAACTTTTGGTCAGAAACACAAGATACCCCAAATTGTGACATTAGCTGGAGCAACCCTGGCTGACTCACTGTTCTAAGTGGCTAGGCCTTTTAGGTCTGTTCTTCCTAAAAATTATAATACCTATTTTCCCCCCAACTTTCTACTTTGGTAATTTTCAATCCTACCAGAAAACTGAAAGGACAGTAAAATGAACACACATATACACTCTTGACCTAATTTCACCAATGTTAATATTTGTAGCGTTAGCCTTCTCCTTTCCCCACTCTGAAACAAAACAACAGGCTCTCTTTCACACATCACATTCAATTCTCCAGACATTGGCTTACACAGAACACATCCTGCCAATGGCTTGGCCATGCTCCAATTATATATGCAGCAGTGTCACAGGTGACCTTTCCCCATTTCCCAAACACTTGTGTTGGATCATCTGTTTTTTGGTTTTTTTTGTTGTTTTTTTTTTTCCTTTTGAGACGGAGTCTTGCTGTGTTGCCCAGGCTAGACTGCAGTGGCGTGATCTCAGCTCACTACAACCTATGTCTCCTGGGTTGAAGCGATTCTCCTGCCTCAGCCCCCTACTGCTCTGGGCACGCCTTTGAATTCCTAATCTTCAAATAAAAATTATCCCCTCTGTATTTTTATACCATACACACAGAGTTCCTTGGTTGAAGTACATTCATTATTCATTCTCTCAGTTTCCATCGTGTTCATTTCTGAACCATATGCTTCCATTTTCTCTGAAGACATAGCACAGAAATTTAAAGTTGTTTTGCAGTTCTTGATTTGCAGTTATTTCTACAGTCATCTTCTAAATTGACTCTAGAAATGCCTAATCATTTCAAATTTTCACTTCTTCAGCCTAATTTCCATTTTGAATATAGCTATTATCTCTCCCATTTATGATTCATTCTTCACACTAGATTCATCTCACATCACAGCACTAGCCAGGCAAGTCACACTATTAAGTTAATATTAACCTCATGTAGAGTGGGTATGATTTTGGGAAAAATAAGCTGCAAAATCAGGGACTTGGAGGTAACAAAAAGGTGGAATATAACCTGAATATAATGGGTCAGAAATTCTGCCATAAGCCAATTTCTTTCGCTTTCTTTCCTTAGCTATAGTTTTCTCTAATCTCCACGAGGCTAATACTCTGCAGCGGGAGAGGAGAATCTCTTGCTTGGATCTATTCAAACTATGGAATATATCGTTAAAAAATGACTCTTCATGAAGCTGCCCCTCTTGACAAGGTAGCCAAACTACCGCTTTTAAAATTTTTATTTATTTATTTATTTTTAGAGAGAGGATGTCCCTCTATTGCCCAGTCTGGAGTGCCATGGTGTGTGATCACAGCCCACTGCAGCCTCAAACTCCTGGACTCAAGCAATCTTTCCACATCCCAGTAGCTAGGACTATAGGCATGTGCCACTACACCCAAAAAATTTTAAAATTTTTTTGTAGAGAAAGGGTCTTGCTATGTTGCCCAGGCTGGTCTCATTCTTCTGTGTAGTGTTTAGTGCATATTTTTGGTTTGGGACAAGTTTAGTCATCATAACAATTAAAGTAGTTTCTTTCAAATGCTTGTTTATATTAGGAAAACTTAAAAATTCTAAGTAACTTTAAGTAGTGGATACCGAACCTTGAAACAAAAACATACATATAGTAGAGGAAAAGGGCAAGAACAGAATAAAGATAAAATCTGAATGGATCATTTCTAATACCTTCAGCTATTTCAGAAAGAAAAGTCTGAGTGAGACAAAAGAGATGTCTATAGGGAAGAGACATGAGAAGAAATTTCATAACCCAGCCAGGATTACCTTATATCCCAGGACTAATGAGTTACAGAGTTTCTCTGAACTTTTAGAAAAATGGATTACTGGTATATAGTTGGATCTGCAGCTTTTCCTTTCATAGGTACTGGCAGGATATTTATGAATTTTTCAGAATTCCAAATTTACATGCAAGTTAAAGATTTTCAAGCACTTTTATGATAATTTAAACTAATCCATACTGAAACAGCTGCTGAATAAAAAAATATAAGATGAAACTTTGTATCCTGATTAATCAAAATGCTGGAACCAGTTGCATTCTTGCGCAATTTCTTCAGAGTATACTTACTGCCATTCTTTGCTTTTCTCCACCACTCAGTACATCCATCCAATCCTGAACGCTGTCCCAGCCTCCTTCACGTTCAAGGATATGACCCAACTGGACGTTGTCTAAGTATTCCTTCAGTACCTTTCAGCAAAATGATTAAAGGGAAATCAAACTTAATATAAGCCAACATTCTAAATCTTGGTTTATTTTTTAAACTGGAATCACTGTAATTCTATTGTCTGTACCACTTAAAAGATACATTTCAAAAAAGAATGTGGCACAAGGTAGCCCTAAATCTTTCAACTCCTATCTACACTAAACTTGACAAAATATGTCTAGTAGCTTAAAAAGAATAACACTATTGTACATAATAAAAGGATGATGGCAATGAGAAAACAAACAATAGTGCAAAGGTTAAGATTAACCTCTTTTTAAGCCAAGGGATTATCATCTTACCTCAGCTTAGAAAATCATAATTAATGGCTTTGGAAGGCATTACAGATTAAGATAAACTACCTGGCATTTAAAATACTTAATTGATTAAAATAAACAATCTGAAATGGAGTATTTTCAGTGGATCTAGGATATAAACGTTTCCTTACTAAGTCAGATATTCCCTTCCTTTTCTGATCTTCTCGTCCATCTGGATATATCACTTGGTCTCGAAGTGTTCCAAGGGTCATGTAAGGTCTCTGACAGTAGTAGAGCAAAAGTCATTAGAAGAAACATTAAAAAATAAATAAACAAAAGGATCTTTAAATCAAAGATAACTCAAGCTAGGTCTTACTTGAGGAACATAAAATAACTTTCCTCTCTCGGGTTTAGTTAGACGTCCTCCAAAAAGAGGCCATAACTATTAAAAAAAGAGAGAAGGGAGAAGAACAATTGTAAAATTTACAAAGTGGTAGACAGTATGGCAAAATAAGACTGCAAAATTTTGAGGCCAACTTGTACTTACTTCACCAAGAACACGGAAAAGAGAACTCTTTCCGCAGCCATTAGGACCACAAATTAGAACATTAGCCCCAGATTGAACCTGAAAAAAAACAAAATCAGTCTGTGAAGTAATTAAATCAAATTAACATATACTCAATGAACATTTCCTTAGACTCAAGTATTAAGAGCTCCTGGCTAATTATAAGCCTTCTATTTGTCTGTAAATGTAGCATTAGGTAGAGCAGTAAAGAAGTATTGTAAAGGGACCTTTTACTTTGTTTACTTCCAATTCTTACCATTACTTTTTTTTTCACTTAAAAAATTATTATTGCTGGGTACGGTGGCTCACAGGAGGATCGCTTGAAACTGGGAGTTTGAGGCTAACCTGGGAGCTGAAGTGAGACCCTCATCTCCACAAAAAAATAAAAATAAAAAATTGGGCAGGTGTGGTGATGCACACCTGTAGTCCCAGCTACTCGGGAGGCTGAGGTGGGAGGATTGCTTGAGTCCAGCAGTTCAAGGATGCAGTGAGCTATGATGTCACCTAGGCTGACAGAACAAGACCACATCTATATACATGTATGTATAAATAAATAAATAAATTGACTGATATCAACTTAAGATAGAAGAACTAAAGTTTAAAAAACTGAGAATTCTTGAAAACAATAAATACATGTGTATATACAGTCTCTCTTAAAAAAATGAAAACATACTCTATGGACTGTTCTACAACTTGCTTTTACTATTTAACAATATATCACAGACATTCTTCCAGGTCAGTATATTCAGATTCCCCTATTCCTTTCCTTTAATGCCTCAAGCATCTTCCTATCGGGGAAACCCGCCCCTGATAATTCAATGTTATTTCACGTAGGTTCTTTTCTATTTCCCTAAGTGTTGGCCGGTCTGAGAAATAAAGGGAAAGAGTACAAAAGAGAGAAATTTTAAAGCTGGGTATCTGGGGGAGACATCACATGTCCGCAGGTTCCATGATGCCCCCCAAGCCACAAAACCAGCAAGTTTTTATTAGTGATTTTCAAAAGGGGAGGGAGTGTATGACTAGGGTGTGGCTCACAGAGATCACATGCTTCACAAGGTAATAAAGTATCACAAGGCAAATGGAGGCAGGGTGAGATCACAGGAGCTGGGCAAAATTAAAATTGCTAATGAAGTTTCAGCACGAATTGTCATTGATAACATCTTATCAGGAGACAGGGTTTGAGAGCAGACGACCGGTCTGACCAAAATTTATTAGGCGGGAATTTCCTCATCCTAATAAGCCTGGGAGCACTACGGGAGACCAGGGCTTATTTCATCCCTTATCTACAACCGTAAAAGACAGACATTCCCAGAGCGGCCATTTCAGAGACCTCCCCCTAGGAACGCATTCTCTTTCTCAGGGCTGTTCCTTGCTGAGAAAAAGAATTCAGCGACATTTCTCCTACTCGCTTTCGAAAGAAGAGAAATATGACTCTGTTCCGCCCGGCACTCAGGCAGCCTGACCTAATGGTTATCTCCCTTGTTCCCTGAACATCATGGTTATCCCGTTCTTTTTTCAAGGTGCCCAGATTTCATATTGTTTAAACAATTTGTGCAGTTAACGCAATCATCACAGGGTCCTGCGGCGACATATATTCTCAGTTTACAAAGACGATGGGGTTGAGATTAAAGACAGGTATAGGAAATCACAAGAGTATTGATTGGGGAAGTGATAAATGTCCATGAAATCTTCACAATTTATGTTCTTCTGCCATGGCTTTAGCTGATCCCTCCGTTCGAGGTCCCTGACTTCCCACAACATCTTCCATAGTAAGGATATACTATAACTTATTTAAACACTCCCCTTTGGCTAAATATTTAGGTCTGCATTTTGTTTTGCTCCTCTAGATAATACTGCAATGAGTGTACAAGTCAGCAAGTAAACTTATGCAATAGTAAGTAATGTTTCTGTAGATTCTATTCTTAGAAATTATAACTGTTTTATCAAAATATATGTACACTATAAATATTTACAAGTGGCACTAAATTATTCTGCAACAACATAAATGAGAAAATGTAGAGTGGTTAAGTTCTAGGCTTATGATCTTATAAGTATCTGATCAACTCTGTAAAGAATCAGAAAATCTTAGCTATAATTCTAGCTTACAACATTAAACACCAACGCAACACAACAGGAAAGAAAATATCAGAGTGATATATGAGTTACCCTAGCTGGTAACCTGCCTTTAACAAATCTGTTAAATTGGTGAGCCTTCTGTTCCTATTATTTAATTCAATGAATATTTATTGAATGCTCTCTGTCAGGCTCTGTTCTAGGCAAGTAGGCCACATTCGTGACCAAAGGAGACAAAAAACAAAAACAAAAAACCAAAAACCTCTACCTTTACTGGTTTACATTCTAGTGGCAAGAGACATACAATAAAGAATACACATAATATACAAGTTAAATAGTATATGAAAAAATAAGTAGTTTGGAGGAAAAAACAGATAAAGGGAACTTGGAAGCGGGTGAGGGAAGTTGCATTTTTAAGGTGGTCAGAGTAGACTTTATTGAAAATGACAACTGAGTAAAACTTTGAAAGAAGGGGTGAATTAGGATTTAACTAAAAGAAGACTGTTCTAGTCCCCACCTTTACCCATAAAAAGCTGGTACAGCCTGGCCAACATGGTAAAACCCTGTCTCTACTAAAAATACAAAAATTAGCCGGATGCAGTGGCATGTGCCTGTAATCCCAGCTACTAAGGAGGCTGAGGCATGAGAACTGCTTGAACCTGGGAGGCAGAGGTTGCAGTGAGCTAAGATCACGCCACTGTGCTCCAGCCTGGGTAACAGAGCAAGGCTCCATCTCAAAACAAGACAAAACAAAAAAAATGCTGGTACAAAGGCACTGAAGCAGGAACGTAGCTATCCTATTCAAAAAAAAAAAAGAAAAAGCAGAAACAAGACTGATTTTACTGAGGAACGAACAGGAAAGAATACTAGTAGGAAATGAGATCGGAGAGGTATCAGGTAGGAGTAGGGTAGTGGCAGGCATTGAAAGGACATTGGCTTTTACTGTGACAAAACACAGAGCCATCAGCATTGTTCACAACAGCCGAAAGGTGGAAGCAAGGAAGCAACCCAAGGGGATGGATGGATACACAAAATGTGCCCCCGCCCCCCGCCACACACACACACACAACGAAATGGCATTCAACCTTTAAAATGAATGAAACTCTGACACATGCTACAATATAGATGAACTTTGAGAACATTATGCTAAATGAAATAAACCAGCCACAAAAGGACAAATGCTGTATGACTTCACTTATATGTGATCCCTACAGCAGTCAAATTCATAGAGACAGAAAGAATGAGAGGTTACCAGGGGTCCAGGAGAGGAAGGAAGGAGAGTTATTGTTTAATGAGTACAGAGTTTCTATTTGGGATGATGGAAAAGTTCTGGAAATGGATAGTGGTGGTGGCTACATAACACTGTAAATGAACTTACTGCCACTGAATCACACACTTAGAAATGGATAAAAAGCCAAATTTTATGTTTATTTTTACATTTTAAAAACTTCTTAAAAAAGAATGAAGCAGCCTGACACACAGTTGATCTAAAAGAAAATAACAATTTACACACATCATTGTTAGAGTTGTTCTAAGTGACTTTTCCAAATGAATAAACATTTTTTCTGATAATTAAAGAATCATTTTGATAGACTTTTTTTTAAATAACATAATTTCCTTATCATATAAAATTGAATATACTGAATGTTCCTCATAAAGCAAGGTTATCATATAAAATAATCATACTCTACTGCTACAGCGATGCCCTTAGAAGGTCCTAAAGTTCAGTGAGCTGTAATTAAATGGTTCCCTGCTACTACGCTTTATTTCAGTAATGTTGGCCATATATACATTCTCCCCTCCCAACTGCTCTTTGTGGTTTACAATGGTATCAATATTCCCGCCTCCAATAATACCCTTCCACATTATTTGTTGCAGTATGCCAGGAAACCCCAAAAGCAGATTTGTAATGATGTATATAAATAATAACCAGACTTACTGAAATCCTGAGTTATTCTTTTATGCTCAAAATCAAGCCTGGCTAGCCTACTCAGCATTCACTTTTCTTTATTCCATGGCTTTTGGCAGTGTTGAACAAAACTTCCAATTATGATGTCAGCCATGATAAGCCAGGGATAATCTGTCTGTATTACAAGTTTATTAAGTACCTATTTTTTGTGGGGTTAAATTAAGTCTAAAAGCCAACAGTAACATTTAGTGAAAATTATGTTCTTGACAGCATTATATTATTGAGACTCTCAGAATGCTTTACTGGATCAACCAATGCTTTGAACCACCATATTTTTACCAATAAAAATATACCCCCAAATAATACTCCTTGATAAATCCTACCTTCTATAAATTTATCATAACAAATCAAAAATTCTACACATAAATTTAAGTAAAAGAAAAATTATATAAAAATATGGTGTTTATGAAGTCTGATTAGTTTCTTTAAACACTGTTAAGTACGCCTTACTGAAAAGGTAAAAATCTTAATAAGTTACAAAGTGCTTGTTTTTTGGAGACAGGGTCTCAGTCTGTAGCTCCGACTGGAGTACAGTGGTGCAATCTCTGCTCACTGTGCAACCTCTGCCTCCCTGGCACAAGCGATCCTCCCATCTCAGTCGCCTGCGTAACCAGGACCAAAGGTGTGCACCACCACACCTGGCTATTTTTTTTTTATTTTTCAGAGACGGGGTTTTGCCACGTTGCCCAGGCTGGTCTCAAACTCCTGAGTTCAAGGAATCCGCCCATCTCAGGCAAAGTACTATTTTAATCCCCACATGGTAACCTGCAAGCTGTTACCTCTTAGGTTCTCTCCAGTCTACATACCTCCCAGAATAATATCTAGACAGATAAATATGGCTATATTGGGGAATTTCTAATGGAAAATGGTATAAAATGTCTTATTCCAAAGAAGTGTTTATTATTTGGTTACAAATGTAACCCAAAAGGCAAATGAATCATAAAGTAGGAAACATTTATTTGAGAGGCCAAGTCTCAGTTTTATTATGCCTCTTTCCAAGAGGGAAAGTAATCTTTATTTTCAAGTAAGCCAGATGAGTAGAAAATAATTAGAGGTTGCAAAGAACTGAAGAATATTTGTTGACTATAGAAAGGCTATGCTAAGAAAAACAATAAAAAGACATAATGAATGTGAGAAACCCAAGTCTACTTTAGAATACTTTAAGTCAGAAAGAGGTAAGAATTCGTAACAGTGAACCAAAAAGACAGGAGTCAGAGAAACAGTTGCCAAGGGAGGAGAAAACAAGAATCACAGGATAGACACCAGGAAGTATGGAGCATGGTTACGAAGTAAAACACTCCAACAAGTAAGGACATAAGTGAGGACTTGAGACTTTCCAAATGAAATCCAAAAAACAGGAAAAATTAAGGACATTTTTAAGACTATAAAAATGAAATTATAGAAATGACAGAAGTCTATTAAAGCCAAACATAAGGGTTTTAAAAGAAAAGACTTTGAACTAAAAAAGAAAGTGACAGCTTTAGTGTGGTAACATCATGACAAAAGGTTATTATGGACCATAATCATGATCCATCTATTCTGTGTATCCCAACGCCCTTTCTCATTGTGCTTCAGTCATGTGTGTCCCTATATCGTTGGTATATTTTATTTCTGCATAGACAGAAGTGAGGGTAAGTAGGAGAAAGGGCCAAGAGGCATCCTTCAACGAAGTCTCACGTCCTTTTTATCCTTGGACAGTGGCAATAAAGGGGCTACTGGAAATGAAGCCTGGCTACCTACTTTGCCAAAGGAACATTCAAGTGACTGAAGTACCCGGAGCTACGTAAGAAAACACTTCTGCGATATGTGGAGCCAGTCGATATTTATCAACTACATTTACATTTTCTGTACTTCATCTTGTATTTCCTGGCTTTGGAATAAATATGATAATAATAGACTACTCATTGTTGAATAAGTTCAAAGTACTTTGCATAACTAACAATTTTCATTTTTATAATTCATTGAAAAGAAAGTAGACATGTGCTTAATACAAATTACTAAGAGCAGAAAACTGAACACTTCCTTAAGACTGTAATAAATTAAAAACAAGTCCAATAATCATACTCTTTATTTTATAAACTATCAGACAATATTCCTTCAAAGACAGCAGTAGGAAAAAAAATCCCCACATAAAACACAAACTACAGATGGCTATGCACATAAGCATGTGGAGAGGAATTCCAGAGCTGTGCTGTCCAATACCATAGCCACTACTCACATGTGGTTATTTAATTTTAAATCTTATTAATTAAATTAAAATTTAAATTCAGTTTTGCAGCTGTACTAGTAACATTTCACATGCTCAGTATCTACACATGGCTATTTTACTGGATAGTGAAAGTATAGAGCATTTCCATCATCGCTGAAAGTTCTACGGGAAAGTGTTGTTCTAGAGAAATGGTGTCTAGAATGGGGAAGACAGCCTATGTGATAGGAATTTGTTACTAATTATGAAGATTTCTGGATCTGAACCATTCATAAAGCCACAACATAGAGAAAACCTAAATAGTAACCCTTAAATCTGCCAGTCTTACAAAATCATACAAAAACATTCAACTTTTGTCTTTTCTTTTTAATTTGGTCTGCCATATCCCATTTCATTAGCACAGTAGATTGAATCAACATCAGTATTTACTTGGCATGGGATTTTACTTGTTTTAGGTGAGTGTCTATTTGTAGCACTACTGTGCGACTCTTCCCCTGTTTTCATCAGTAATAAAACAGTCTGTATTTTGTTTTTATAGGTACAAATCATCCTGTACAGTCACAATAATACCAACCACATCATAAGTTTCTTTTTAATGTAAAGAGACTAAAATTATATTTGTGTTTAAATATTCATTTTACACTGGAGACTCCAATTTACTATATTTTCTATAGCTTTCTTGACATAAACTTCATTTACAAAAAGTTTTTTGGTAGTAGTATTTGAAATTTTGAAGTCCTGTCAATTAAGAAAAATAGATTTCTAAGTGTTTCAAAGACTTACTTTTTAAAGCAATTCTGTGGATTCAGAGACTAAGTCGAGCCTTAAAGTTAATTTAAATATTCAGGTAACCTTTTTTCAGTTCACATTTTAAAGATGATTTAAGCTTCTCCGTTTCAAAAAATAAATAAATAAATAAACTTACTTCAAAATTAAGGTCACGGATCAAAATATCTCCATTTGGCGTTGCTAAAGGAACATGATCAAACCTATAGAGGAAATTCAAAAAAAGAGAACTACTGTAAAGTATATAAGAAACTAATACAACTCAATACCAAAAATACAAATAATCTGACTAAAAAATGGGCAAAGGGCTTAAACACTTCTTAAAAGAAAAAATTCAGATGGCCAACAGGCATACGAAAAGGTGCTCAACATCTCTAGTCATCAGGAAAATGCAAATCAAAACCACAATGAGATGTCACCTCTCACCTGTTAGGATGACTATTATCAAACAGACAAATGGTAAGTGTTGGCAAAGATATGCAGAAAGGAAACCTTGTATGTTGTTGGTGGGACTACAAATAGTACAGTTATTATGGAAAACAGTATGGATGTTCCTCAAAAAATTAAAAGTAGAACTACTGTATGACCTAGCAATCCCACTTCTGGGTACATTTGCAAAGGAAATAAAATCAGTATCTCAAAAAGAATCTTCCTCCCATGTCCACTCCAGCATTACTCACGATAGTCCGTATATGAAAACTACCTAAATGTCCTTCAGCTGATGAGAGGATAAAGAAAATATAGTGTATATAGTGTGTATATATTCACACACACACAAAATACATACAATAGAATATTACTCCACCTTTAAAAAAGAAGGAAACCGGGCCATTTTCAACATAGATGGATCTGCAGGACATTACGTTAAGCAAAATAAGCAAGACACAAAAAGAGAAACACTATATGATCTTACTTGTATGTGGAATTTAAAATAGTCAAACTCATAGAAGTAGAGAGTAGGATGGTGGTTGCCGGGGGGTAGGGAGAGAGGAAATGGGGTTAATATCGGTCAAACGGCACAACATTTCAGTGATGCCAGATGAATAAATCCTGTAGATACACTGTACAGGGACAATAGTAGAAAATACTACATTGTATACCTGAAATTTGCTAAGACACATCTAAATTAAATTCTCACCAAACACACACAAAAATGGTAACTATGTAGAGGTGACAGGTAAATTAATTAGCCTAAATGTAATCATTTCACAACGTATACAGATATCAAAGCATCAAGTTGTATACTTTAAATATTAATATACGCAATTTTTATGTCAATGATACCTCAAAGCTGTTTTTCCAAAAAGCAGAAATAATTTTAAACACTAAGCAATTGTAAGCTGAAAAAGAAAGACTACTATGAAGTTTAACAAACATTTATGGTGCTAAAGAACCTTTTTCTGTACGTACTTTATAATGTTATCTGCAATAATGATTTCTCCAGCACCAGGTATCAAGGGAATGACTTGTACTCCTTCAATACCTTAAATGGAAAATAGGTATTAAAGCATCATATTATGTCAGCAAACACTTAAAATTGTGACCTTAAACTGTGACACTCATATTTACCCTTTTCCTGTTGTGAGACCATTGTGCGCTCATATTTGCCATGATTTAAATCCTTCAGTACTTGCATTAATTCTGTAATCCGAGCAGTAAAACTAAAATTTTAGAAAAGGAAACCATAATCAAAACTCCAGACTACTGTCACATCTTTTATTTTACACAAACTTAAGTTCCTAAAATTATAATCTAGTATAAATGAAGTAACCTAACAGTCTCATCAACATAAAGTATTAATGATAGCATGCATGCTTTATTATGTTTCAGTAGGAAAGCAGGAATATAGGGATGAAGAAAGAGGTTTCCATAGGATCCCCAACTCAACAGATACTTCACTAATAGCCAAGTCAAGACAGTTATTTGCTGAGAATTTTCAGGAGGTTTCTCTTGTATACTACAAAAGGACCACTACACTAGTATATTCCTTAGACCCAGGAAGTATGGACTCTGAGCTCTTGTTGAAGCGGCCTATAAAGCCATGTATAAAGTTGGTCTTTCTATCCAAGGAAGGCATTCATTAAATGTATGCTGAATGCACGCTGCCTTCCTGCAAATGGAAGAATCTGAAAGATTCCCTCTTTCTTACTCTCAAGAGGGGAAAGATGAAGAGTTCTTATTATTAGATAGAAATCACTGTGGCAGTAGAGAAAAATCAAAACTAACAACGAGAGGTTGGAGATAACAAAAATGACCATGATCGCCATAGAGAAAGTATTCTGCATCGAAGAAGAAAACAGGATTTTTCTCTGAATAACAAGCAGAAACCTCCTAAAGCAAACTTTGGGAGGTGATGAATGCTTATGGTCTTGATGGTTTCACAGGTGTATAACTTATCCCCATGTTCATCAAATTGTATACATTAAATAGGAACAGTTTCTTATATGTCAATCATACCTCAACGAACTGGAGAAAAGAGAAAGAAAGGAAGGCAGGGAGAGGGAGGGAGGGAGGGAAGAGAAAGACATACACACCTACAGAGAAAGAGAAAGAGAAAGAGAGAGAGAGAGAGAGAGAGAAAGGAAGCATCCTTAAGAAACAGAAAAGAACCCTATATACCATGAACTGTCAAGCCATAAGAAAAGTTAACAAGTAGGAAGAATGTTAGTATTCTCATGAAAGAGACTCTACTCATAGTAGTTAACAACTTCTATATTGCCATGAAGACCTTAACTGCCACAGGAGCTAAGAAGGAGGAAAAAGAGAAATACGAAGATGGATCACAGGCCTAGGAAAGCTATTAAGTCATCAAACTTCTTCAGGTGACCTAAAATTTATGGTGTTTTTTATACCATACCATGCCCTTTATATTGGAGATTGAAATACTCAAATATTAATATTTTACATTCTATGGTCTAAAGATGATTTTACTACCAGACAATATGACTACATTCACAAGCACACCTACAGATACAAGTTAACTTCTCATTTTTTTTTCCCATTAAAGTCAACTTCATTTCTATTCATCGGTTTTTGCTAGGTTGCCGGTATCAAAGATCTACGAAAAAATGGTATGGTAGAGGACAAGAAAATTTAAATGAGAAAATTCTATTCATTAACTTAGTTTTCTGTGAATTAAGACTGCCATGATTCAATATTTCCCAACTTAGCAAATACCAGTGTCCATGGAGCAAACAACTTGACAGCCTCTAATCTACTGTAATGTGCAAACCAGTTGTCTTAAAGAAACATGAAAAGTTCACCATCAGAAAAATTTTCCTTAATTTTCTATCAAAAACCACCTTCTTGGGGTAGGAAATGTTGCTCCCTTACCTTAACCTCAGCTAGTACAATCATTCAGGATAGCATATTTTTAAAAATTATTTTCTGCAACTGCTCATTATTACTAATCTTACCCAGCCAATCTAGTCATTTCACGCCCAGCCAAAACGATTCGACCCAGAGCTTGGGACATTCGCAAAAGCATTCTTCCACTTTGGTAGTAATCCTTAAATAGAAATAAATATTAGTTTTTACTTATAGTTCTAGGACTAAAAATTTGGCTTTATTTTTACTGTTACAGCTTCATTGTGTTATCATCACTTTACCTCTAGAAGTTCCGAATGTGTACTCTTGAGATGTCGAGGATGAGACAAATCTAAGAAAGGGCGACTGACAACTAAGTAACCAACCACAGTGGCAAGGTCTGAAACCAAACAGGTAAGATTTAAAACAGTAACAGTATTTCACCTTTTCCACAAATCTCATCTCTTTCAAAATATACTTACATTTGGCAATAATGTTATCAATGAAGCCCATTGAAAAACGAAACAAAATGAAATTATGTAGGTGCTCCACCTGGCAGAAAACAAAAACAAAAAAACATATTTTTTTCTATGTATAAAAAATTGAATCACTATGAGGATAAAACAAACTGCATTGTTCATTTATTCAACAAATATTTACTGAATGCCCATGATTTCTGTTTATATTGTACATCACACCACCGAGCACAATGCTCATCACAGAGTGGGTGCCAAACACACACTTCATGAAACCATTTTTATGCAAACAGCATGGAAATTACATAAACAATTTTAACAACGCTGTTTCTCTTGCATGAAAAAGAACAATGCTATTGTAGTCACCATGCTTTTGGATACATATATCCCAAAAGAGAACAATGACGAAAGCAAAAAGAACAGAGAGATATTAACTAGTTTGAGTGAAACACTAGCTGTCCAGATTGGCACTCAATGCTCTGCTTTCAGTGGAGACACATGGTCTGTGCTTTATCTAAGAATTGTATTACACCCAGTCTGAACTGAGTGTTAATGTAAATCAGTGCCACATAGCCTCAGTTTTAGCTTTAACATAAGCATGCATTGCCTCAAAACTACAAGTCTAAAACTGCTTTTTATTCCGGAGTTGTTGCATTCTCAAACTGTCCATCTACCAGATTATTCAAGGTCCTGCATGATCTGGCACTGAGTTCTATTTTTAAGGTCATATGCTTCTACTTTGCTCCTCCTCACCAAGCTCTAGAAATAATGGGTTTCTCAAACATGTACCCTTTTAAGGCTTTCTTCTTGCTCTTCCCACTGCCAGGAATACATTCTTCTAAGATATTTACATTTTGTGACTCCTTCACCTTCATGTGGATTTCTGACTAAATGTCACCTCCTCAAGAAAGACCTTGGTCATTCCAGCTAAAGTAGCTGGGCAATAGCCCCCTTCATATCTATACCTTTATCCTGCTTCATTTTTGGCCACAGAATTCATTACTACCTGAAATTACACAGAACATCTAGTTGTTTATTTACTGTCTCCTCCACTAAAATGTGGCTTCCTGAGTACAGGGTAGCTTGTTAACAACTTGGTATCTTCTGCAACTAGACAATGTCTGGAACATTTATTCAATGGCTACCACATGTCAGACACTGTGCTCAAGCTGGAGATACAATGAATAGAACATAGAATGTCCCTGAATTCATGGAGTTTACATTCTAATGAAAGAGGATAGCTAGTAAACAAGATAATTAGAGACTGTAATATAGTGATCTCTCGGTATCCAAAGGGGATTGGTTCCAGGACCTTTCTGGATGCCAAAATCCATGGATGCTCAAGTCCCTAAGGAAAAATGGCAGAGTATTTGCATATACCTGAGCATGACATCCCATACACTTTACTTATTTATTTTTTGAGACAGAGTTTCACTCTGTCGCCAAGGCTGGAGTGCAGTGGTGCCATCTCGGCTCACTGCACCCTTCGCCTCCTGGGTTCAAGTGATTCTCCTGCCTCAGCCTCCCAAGTAGCTGGGATTACAGGTGCCTGCCACAACACCTGGCTAATTTTTGTATTTTTAGTAGAGATGGGGTTTTGTCATGTTGGTCAGGCTGGTCTCGAACACCTGACCTCAAGTGATCTGCCCGCCTCAGCTTCCCAAAGTGCTGGGACTACAGGAGTGAGCCACCATGCCTGGCTCATCCCAAACACTTTAAGTCATCTCTAAATTATTTACAATACTTAATACAATGTAAACAGTTGTTATACTAATGCCTGTATTGTTCAGAGAATAATGACAAGAAAAAATACGTGTATATAAGTACAGACACAATTTCTTTTTCTGAATATTTTCAATCTGCACGTGGTTGAATCCATGGATTTGGAACCCACAGATGCAGAGGGTTTATATATATATATATATATATATATATATATATATTTTTTTTTTTTAAGGAAAGATGATGATTAAAACAGGAAGGAACTTTTGGAGGTTATTTCAAATAGGCTGATCAGAGAAGACAAAGCTTCAATAAGGTGTTAACATTTGGGCTGAAAATCTAAAGGATGAGAATAAGCAAGCCACGTGGAGAGCAAGCTGGTGAACTGCAGGCCCCCGAAAAATTACCTTAAATGTATTCTACCAGTGAGCACGCTAAAAGTTCTGCCATGTTAAATACTGATGAGGCAAAAATTCAATTTCTGAAATAATTTAAAATGACAATTTATTTAACCTCTTTCACTCATCTAAAATATACACTTAATTTCACAAACTTCAGACTTCCACTAAAATGTAAGCTCCTTAAAGGCAAGATTTTATCCATCATGTCCACCACCATCATCCTTAGCACCTGGAGTAAGCACAGGCAACTAGATGGCATTCAATATCTTTTGAATAAATAATGGAATAAAAGTACTTGAATTCAAATTTTCCAAGTGGCAATCAAAAAATGAAGTACCGCTTTCACAAGAAACACTGCTTTAATTCTTTAAAACAAAAAGCCAGCAAACTCCAATCCGTAGTCCAAATCTAGCCTGCTACTTGTTTTTGTAAGTAAAGTTTTATTAGAACATAGCCACACTCACTCATTTATGCATTATATATAGCTACTCTTGAGTAGCGGAGCTGAATAGTTGCAACAGACTGTGTGGTATGAAAAGCCTAAAATATACACATACTATCTTGCCCTTTACGGAAAAAGTTTGCTGATCCCTGCTTTACATAATAATCTTCATTGTATTTTTATGAATGCCACAGGAACAAATTCGTTCTGTGGGAATCACTAAATTTATCACTAAATAAGGCTCCTAAGCAACCTCTGTAAAAATACACTTAATATTATTTTAATAAATCTATGCAATTTTATAAATGGGCACTTGAATATACTGATATGATAGTTTTTAATCTTGCATTTTTTATTAAAAATGCAGTATAAAATCCTTTATAGCTATTTTTCAAAATATCTTTAAGATACGTATACATACGTGTGTGTGTGGGGGGGGGTGTATCGGTCATAGGCAAAAAAACACACACAAAAAAACCATTTCCATAAACACATGAACTTCAAGTGTGTTTCCTTACCAGTTTTCGGAAGACTGAGTGGACTGTCTGTTTTTCTCTTTTATTCCCATTGTAAAAGGCAATTTCTTCACTGTTAAAGAAAATAATTTAGCAATTAATTTTAATGTTACCTATACTTGAAAAATAATTGAAATACAGTATATGATGGCTGAATGTTTGTATTTAAATGGACATTTTGTGACTAAGAGCTTATCTGGTGCATCTCAAACCACAGTCTATACTTGAGATTCTGTTCCTAGCTCAGCTGATCGGAGCACAGGAATACACCCCTGACTGAATCATATGCTGGACTGCAACCTATATCATAGGTATCCTGGCTGCAAAAGACATACTGCACTAATTCTTGGAAATTTGAAATTACAGAAAGAAGTTGCTGTGATGTACAGAAAGGCAGGGCTGGGACCGACATTGCAGACTTCAAGTTAAAGTATAAGCCCAAACAAGAAGGAGATGAAAAAGCAACAGCTAGAAAAAGATGGATAGTGATGCCTTGACATACAGTCTTTTAAAGACAGAAAAGCAGGCTAAGTCCCACCGGCTTCAAAGTGCCAGCTCCCAGGAGGAAACCCTGGAAAAACCCCATCATATCCTCACAACAATTCCACTTTTCCTAAGCAACTGTGCATGGGTCCACAAGGGCCACAGGGATCAAGACTAGAAAAAAAGGGTATTTTATAGATGAAGAAAAGTTCAGTGCAGTTAAGTAAATTTGTAAAGGTCGCAGAGCCAGCAGGTCAGGGAGTTGAAATTGTAACTTCTATCTGACCCTAATATTTATAGTCTTTCTATTACACAGGCAAGATGTAAGCTTTCCCAGCAAAGTACCTCTTATGGCAGAGGTAAATATTCATAGAGAAGTCTAGAAGGCAAGGTTGAAATATTTCTTTAAAGTCTCTTTTTTCCCCTAAACAATTTATGTTTTATATTTCTATTTTGAAATGGACCTGTGTTTTTCATAAAAACAAGGTACCACCTACCTCAACCTCTTCAAGTAAAATTAATTTCCCATAAAATATAACACATTTGTCATGTGTTTCATGGTTTCCTTGACAAAATGACACAGAGCCTCAGAGTATAAGAAGCCTACAGTTCTATACCTCTAATTACTTTTTTAAAAAACTTCCTTCTACCTCCTCTCTACACCTAAGCCTATGGAAGAAGATGAGGTGAGGATTCTCCTCCTGAACTGAGTCATTTTAGCCTTAATGAAAAATCTGAAAGGATAAAACATCCTGGAATGTTGATGGCTGCCCATCCAACATCTATTCTCTTCATTGTCCTTCTTCCTAAAATAATCCCAACTTTCTTAAAGTTATCTATTATTTTCCATGTACCCTAATGCTTTAGGAATGCCTCAATCCCATTTATAGGGTCCCAACTGGTCTAAGCCAATCACTTTGCTGTGATTGCTTTAGGCATGGTCAAGTGATAATTCCAGCCAATCAGATATGAGGGAAAGTCAGCTGTGGGACTCTTGGGAAAGGTTTCTTTGCTCTCATAAAGATACACCAGGAGAGATGGCCCCTTTTTGTTTCTGGAGCTTTCTGCAGGGGAGAGAAGCTAGTGAAATCTGTAACTGCTATCGCCATCTTGTGGTCACAAGAAGAATTAGCCCAAGGAATGGGGCAGCATACAAAGCAAGGCAGAGCCAGGAGACACCAGAGAGCCAGAGCCCTGATAATGCCAGCCTGGAACTGCCCTGTCTTAAGCGTTCTCATGTGAAGCAGTGAGTGTTCTTATTACTGGAGCCATGAGTCATGCTTTCTGTTTCTTTCAGTAAAAGGCATCTTTCATTTACTTGGCAAATCACCTCTTAACTCTATTCCACTGCCTCCCTAGAGCAAAAAACCCTATTTAAAACTTGTACTATTTTAGCAATCCAAGGAAATAAAGGAAGAGGGAACTGTCATTTGTAAATGCCTACAGAGTAGAATATTAAATACATATTAAAACTCTCAAAATGACTTAACATTGACAGATCAATATATGAGAACATTTATTAAGCATTTGCTCCATACAGAAAACTGAGCTGGAAGCTTTATATATATTACCAAATTTAATCCTCATCGCAACCCTATATTATCTACCTATTATAAACAAAAGTGAAACTATGAATAATTCACTAAAATCAAATACATGCAATTGATAAGTGGAAGAAGTAGATTTTGAAACTAGTATGGCTAGCTCCGAAGTCCACACTTTCTCTTCCTATCTTACATTTAAAAAACTCTAGAAAATAGGTAGAGGCACATGCAGTGACAGTGAATCATTGAGCATTATGAAAAGTCAAAATAAAAATATCTGTGGAAAAACTGAGACAAAATTTTCTTGGAACAGGTATTGTAAGTTGAAATTTTAATTGTAAACTGATTATGTCTAAAGTAAAATTAACAGAAAATTCATCAACAGAAGGTATGAACATGTGAATCAAGAATACTACATAGTTAATAAGAGAGTTCAGAATATTCATGATCACTACTTTATAAAACTAGTCTCTTTCATAATGTATATTTTCAATACAATATGCACATTATTACATTAACAGTGTTACTAGACATTTTGGAGTCAATTTAAATGACATCAATATCCATGGAAATGAATTTTTAGCAAGTCTTTAATGCATTTGTCTTTACCTGTTTGTGATGAGCCGAGAATTAACATATCTATATTCTCCTTCATACTTTTGCTCAGTTATTGTCATCCTACCAATGGGTCTTCTAAGTCGAGTTAGGAATAGCCCAGAAACAACCAAGTAGGCCATCATGCTTGCTGGGCCCTATTATTATCGGGAGAGAAAGATACAGAAAGTTCTGGAATATAATAATAAATTCACTTAGATACAAACGTACAATTTTTATAATTAACCACAATGACTGAAAGAAATTGCTCTACTGGGTAATTTTTTCCCCTTGTTTTTTTTCTGAAAAAGTACACAGTAGCCTCTACACTTTTACCACTCAATGAGCTTTTCCTCTCACCACTGTAGCTTATCCCTCAGCTCTCCTACATTTTGCTCACCTAAAAACTCCTAATTGCAGTTCTCACTTTTCCTGTTATCTAACACTCTTCTGTTGGAAATCTTCTTGATAATCTCTTAAGATTCCACAATAATTCTTAGACCTCTTTTTCTTGCCTTCTCTTTTAATATTAATATTCCCTCAAATTCCTTCCTTAGTTCTCTTCTCATCTCAAATCTATACCCCTGGACCTATAACTCTTATGAACCCAAGATATAAGTACTACACATCTTTACCTTAATACTGTGCAGATGCCTCAAGTTCAGCTCCCCCCCAACGAGCTCTGTCTTTCCCTGCTTGTACATCTTGCTTCCAGCTGCTGTACTATGTATTAATAACTTTGCAGGTGACCTTATCACCCATTGACCATCCCAAGAGAAAAGCTTCAAGCATACATTTCCAAGTTCATCATAGGCACTTCCCTCATTCTCCTGTATACACTATACCCTGCCATACTAAAATAAATGTTTCCTGAACTGTTTCCATTTAGTGAGATTGTTCTTATGTTTAGCAAGCATGACATAATCTAATGGATGTCTACTTACCTCCCCAAAGCAGCTCAGATATCACCTCCAGTTCTTCCTGGCACTAAATATTTTATTGAAACTTCTATTACTAAACTTTATCATGCTGCATTATAACTGTTTGACTATCTACCTGTTTTACCACATTGTAATTCCTCTTCAGCAGGAACTGTGTCTTACTTATTTTTTTATTCCTACTATCTAGCACAATATATGTGCTAGTATGTATTCAAGATTTAAAAAAAAAATTAAATCTGATCAATTCAATGCATTTCAACAACTACTACAAATGTGAACCAAAAAGATAACTAAAACAGTTTCTGCCTTTAAGAAATGCAGAATCAGATAACAGGTAGACATGGAGACATATTTAAGTATCACAAAAATGTAGCTAAGTACCATAAAAATATGACTGCAAGGAGACAAGAAGGATTTGGCCTATTTACTTGCTTACAGTAAAACAATATATAAGAATAATAAAACCTGGATCACACGATAGCAAAGAATTAGGAAGATAAACAGAAAAATTCAAAAAACCAAACAAAGCAAAACCAAAACCCTGCTTTCCTAGTGTTTTGGAAAGCAACAAAAACCAGTACGGAAATAATTAATTAATCAACTGAAATGCATATATACACACACACACACACATAAAACAACCATATTATTATATGGTTGCGTTATAAACATATAACAATAACATTACATATTAAATGACTAAAGTTACATTTCAGTAAGATAACTCAAAGAAAACTTAAAAGTGATTCTTGCCATCACAAATATCAGACTTGGATAATAAGGCTCATGGGATAGCCAACCATTTATATTATAAAATATTCTTGGAACTGTTATACCCACTCTAAATGTATCGTTACTTTAACATTAGAATTTCATATTAATATGGACGTCTCCATATCTCTTTTTAGACATTACTTTGAAACAATAAGTATAAATATATTCATGGTTTAAATACTTCTGTTTTATCATTTTTTTAAAAAAGAAGCAGCTCTCGCTTTTTGTCCAGGCTTGTCTCGAACTCCTGGATTCAAGCGTTCCTCCCATCTCAGCCTCCCAAAGTGCTGGGATTACAGACGTGAGCCACCACCCCTGGCCAATATATTTGTCTGGTTTTTAATGCCACAAAATTGAAAATTAAGAAGAAAAATTAGTACTTCTAAAATCTCCAGTAAAGTATTATTTTATAACTGGACTTTGTTAGGTAAATCATGTGAAAATATATTCTTTGAGATATACAAAAATTCTTACAGGCCATCAAGCTATTCACAATATGTATTTCAAATATTGTATTATATCAATTTAAAAGGTGAAATAAAAGAAGACTCACCTGAGCTCCAATTGCACTCGTTAACTTAAAGATATACAAAACTATGTCTAAAAATGGCTGTAAAATAAATATTAGAATACACAAATTAAAACTAAAGCACTAGAATGATAGCTAATACAACATGTTAACTACAAAATGTTATTAAACATTTAATACATAATTATCAACATGTAGAGTTCCCACTATGTATAATGCATTGTGATAGTAACTAGATCAAAGAATACATGAAAGATAACAGTTTTCCTCTCAAGAAACTTAAAATGGGAACAGCTTACACAACGTCTACTGACCATCAAGTAGGAAAAACATTTATCACTTTCCATCAACTAAGATACCTCTACTGTGATAATTAACCACCAGTAACTCAGTAATGTGTCAATATAATGTAAAGATACTAAATAAAATGACCTGAGATGTAACCCCAAATCTGCTACCAGCTTGTTTCTACATATCTTCACCTGTAAAGTGAGAAGCTTTTCCTGTTCCAATATTGTTTGATTCTATTACATTATCACTTCTATGGCAAAATAACCAAGTAAGTAATTGAATCTAATTTTGAAATATAAAAGTCAAGTCTTTAGAACCAAAATAATACATTAATGTACTGCTCTTCACACACAGAGACAACTCAACTAATGCACCATCAGTTGCATTAGTTAGAAATGTTTTTCAAGAAACCCAAATTGTGTTCATTCACTTTAAGTCAACAGCCACTGCTCGTGCCCCCACTTTTTTTTTTTAAGACAGGGTCTGGCTCTGTCACCCAGCTCGAAGATCTTGGCTCACTGCAGCCTCTGAAGTAGCTGGGAGTAAAGGCGCACAGTACCATGCCTGGCTAATTTTTGTATTTTTTGTAGATGGGGTTTCACCCTGTTGCCCAGGATAGTCTTGAACTCCTGAGCTCAAGCAATCTGCCCACCCTGACCTCCCAAAGTATTGTGATTACAGGGATGAGCCACTGTGCTGGGCCAACAGCCAGCACTTTCTAATCCACATTATTAGGACAGATGGCTTGGTTTGTTAACTGGCTTGTTTCAACATTCAACATCTACCTTTCCCTTTCCTTTTTTTTTTTTTTTTTTGCCTTATAAATTATCAAGAAGCTAGAGATACTTATAAAATTCAAGAATTGTTAAAACTTACAACAAAAATAATGACTCATAATTTAAGTTGGAGGTCAATTAGATATTTAAAACATCTAATTTACACAGTGGTGCACAGCCCTACTACAATTAATTAATTTAACATTCTTCTCTATTCCAGATGTGACAAAACCTGAGAGTTGCTCAAGTACCAAGATTTAAAGAATACATAATAATGTCTATAAAATTATATGGGAAGTTGTATATATACACCCCCCATTCCCACCATGCATGCATACACACACATACACATACAAACACACACACACATACAAACACACACACAGAGAGAGAGGGAGAGAGAGAGAGAGAGAAGGGGGAGAAAACAAACTTTCAAATATTGTAATGGGAACAGAAGAGAAAGCTGAATTACTGAACTATTTGTAATTGTCAGAGTTCCTGAGTTTGGGATCAGTTAGCAAAGGCTTCCGGAGAGCTAAATAAATAACAAAGTTGGGCTGGAAGTGAAAAGCACTGGGCCTGGGCATGAGGAGAGCAGCTCTTGTGGATATATATCTCTAAGAATTGCCTTCCCTCCATCAACCTGGTTGAAGCTAGGACATTCCTATTCTTACAATGTGACCCAGTCCTTTTTATAGTTTTGGTTTTCTTTGGTCTCAAAACTGTGTATCTAGGTCAACTGTGACCAGAGGCAAAGATACTATCATTGGTCCAGTATGAGACAAGCTCCTACCCAACACCAAGGGAAGTCACATGAGTTAGAGTGGGAACTGAAGCATCTCAGATGAAGAGGGGAGGGGATGCTGGGCAGACTATTTAATAGGTGCCTACTACATATCATAGTCAATGCAAGAGGTAATGGCACAGAGGGTTTAATAAGAAGACTACAGCGAAAGCTGTAAGGGTGGTGAGATAACATGACTAAGACAAGAACTGGAGAAATCAGCGAGAAGAAGGAAAACTGGTTAAGGCCTATCAGAGTCAGGAGCTTTGGCAATATTCTGAGGAGAATGGGAAAAACAGTAATTAGAAAACTGAAATATACTTGCATCTTGTGAAATGTTTTGACTACTACTTACTAAGATCTATTAGAATTAAAGATACTGAAGCAGAGAAATGGGCAGAAAGGAAGTCCTAGTCTAGTGTTCTAAGTGTGGAATTAGAAACATAAATTGACAGTCAATCTCTAACAATGGCCGGACACATGCAGGTCAAAAGATAAGAATTCAAATTTCTGCTGTTTTAATGGAATCAACCTGCAAAATTCTTAGAAAATCCTTATAAGACACTAAATTATCAGTTCTTTGCCAAAGTACCTCACAAAAATAATAGAAAAAATTAAAATAATTAAAACTATTACAACTCTAATTTTCTTACAAAAGCATTAAATATTTACATGCTGCTGTTCTGTCCATAAAATCAATTCTATATAAATTTGTTTAGATTCAAAATTCAACAAATTAAACAAATAATCTTTTAAAAAGTAGAGAAACTTACCTTACTAAGATTTGAATACAGATCGACTACACTGTTACAAAATTTTTCTACATCTTGTGTAAGCAGCTGGTCTGGATTAGCTATTCTGTTGTCCAGATTTCCCATTTTATAATATGTGAAAGATCTAAAATAGCAAGAAGAAAAGTAATTTTAAAACAAGTGACTTTAAAGATAAAACGACAACCCAAAAAATCACATTACACCGCCTAGCTCAAATACATAGAAACAAAAAAGTTTGGAGCCAGAAGAGATCCTATCGATTGTCCTGATTTTAGAGAGGAGGACACAAGTCCAGAAAATGATGACTTGTCAATTAATGGAAAAGCCAGGACTAGATTCCAAATAACTGAGAGGTTGTTCCCAATATGCTTCTGTACCTAAGAGCGGTTTTCTTAGAAAACATACAACAAATAAGAAAAACCGCTATATTGATCAGCTTCACAAATAGTACTCTTCTATTTAAATACTTTTAATATAAAAATAGGTTATCACTTACTGAAGATACTCCTCATAGAGGTATTTAGTGAGCCTTACACGGAAGCACAGTTTAAGCTCATTTAACCCGTACTTCAAGAAGTTATTAACCAGAGAGATCTAAAACAAACAAACAAATATTATTGGTTTTGCTTTTCATTTCTGCTTACTAAACTATAATTTATTTCTCCATTATTTCCTGTGTCCCAAATCCTATAATTTTTATAATTGAATCCAAATTATATAATTCAGTTCTGTTTTACTTTACTGCATTTAGCTAAATCAAATGTACCTGGTTTGAATTATTCTATGTTAAACTTTACATGGAATATGTTAATATTACTAATTATGAGACGTATCTTGCCATTTTTTTTTTTTTTTTTGTAAATGGGCAAAACGTCAAATCTATCCCCTTTCTAGCCAATGTAAAGACTTGCTTTTAGGAGTTCAGACATTTATGTTTATATTTTCTGTTTCCTACTATCAGCACCACAACCCTAAACAATGGAATTCTATATACACTGTATTTGCATTTGTTAAAAAAAAGAAAAAAAACTACAGGTTTTACACCACTGATGCTATTTTCCAGATTATATCTAGAGCCATCTTTACTAACATTTTCTATCGTTACATTAAAATTTTTCTCAAGTGGTCTTTGCTGAATCTTAATCTTTCATATCTGTGTTGTTTATTCCAACTGTTTATTTTAAAATGTCTAAAAGCTATGTAGCCCCATCTTCCAGCTTTGTTAAACAAGAATTTCTGGCAATTTCAACGTAACTGGATTTTACAGCCAAGCTTCTCATTTTTACCCACAAATTTAGAACATTAAGTTCTTACAGTGCCAAGAAAATTAAAATGAGAACCAAACTAAGAAAATCACTTATATTTTAGACTAAACAATTTATCTGTAAAAAATTCAGACCATAAATTCCAATTTAACTGGAAGTAGATTAGTAGTACAAGTTACGATACTAGTTTATGGCCTAAAGTAACCAGGATGATTTGCACTCCCCTCTCTAAATCTCCCCCAACTCCCCAACTTGCCCCCCGCCCACATCCATTTTGCAAGGACTGGAAACATTTCTGGTTGTTACAACTAAGAGAAGGGTGCTGCTGCTATCTAATGGGATGCTGCTAAACACCGAAGAAAACCTGGACTGAAGGTTAAAAAAAAAAAATGCCAAAAAACCCCTCACCCACATACATATGTATATGAATATATATACACATTATAAATGAAATTAAACCAAACATAATCCCCTTTTTATCTAGTATGAAGGTTTACATTGAAAATTATACTATAAATTACAAACCTAAACTGAAAATAGGAATATAGTATCATAAATCTTTAAAGAATTTAATAAGTAAAACCCTTAAAGATTTTTAAAAGATGCAAATTTCCCCTGGGTTAAAAAGATTTTTAATGAATTAAACTTACAAGAGGCATGGCAGCGATGAAGTTCAATAAGTATCTCTTGAAATCTTTCCTGCTACGACCAATGATACCACTGCAAACCACCACATGCAATGCATTAGTTGCAAAAGAAGCAAAATCTAACACTAGGAAAACTTCTGTAAAGCTCTAAAATTACTCTAGGAAACTTCTATTAAATCAAAACAATCAATAAAAAAGATGCTAAAAAACACTTTTTTGCAAAAACATGTTTGCAACTTTAAAACGTCATCATTTTGAACTTGCTGGAACCTCATCCTGCAAAAGGCGAAATTAAACAGTATGATAACTAATTATTTCTTAGTAAAAATGGCTGCTTTAAAAAAAGGCTTAAGTGGCTACAAAACAAATTTAGCGAGCAAAACAATTAACAACTTTATAGTCCCAGGAATGGATTATTATGAATAAACAAAGTACCATTTGTTTGTTTTAAAATATTTAACAATCTGATTCTCATTTGTGTGAACTAATGGCAGGGAGACAGACTAATGGGGATCAGCAAAGGGTCAAGAGTAAATATTTTAGGCTTTGTGCACCCTAAGGGCTCTGCTGCAACTACTCAATTCTGCCACAGTAAAAAAAAAAAAAAAAAAAAAAAGCAGCCAAGAAGTGTGGCTGTATTCTAATAAAACTTTACCAAAGCAGATGGCAGGTAGTGAGATTTGACCTGTGGGTCCTAGTTTGCCAAGACTGGCACTAACGCATAGATCAGAGCCCAGAATGGATCTATAGAAGCTTCATGTTCCTCAACACACTTCAACTAGACTAGCTCCGCTTTTGCCTATTGTTAATCTGTTTTACGTATTTTTCTGCTTTTAAAATATACATTAAAAATTTTTAAAAAGGGTTTTAATTAAAAATTTGAACAGAGCATCATTATATAAGTAAAGGATCTTTGAGTAAGATATGTGTATGACCTAATACAAAGATAGAATCTATTTGATCACAGAACTCTTATTTCAAATAATACTTAGTAATATTCCCAAATTTCATAAAATATATTTGTATAAAACATTTGAGAAACACTAGACTAATTGGTTTAAACCTAGCTGCCCATGTACACACAAAAATAACTAGTATATGACTAGAGACCTTCTCAAAGTTTTTAATGTATAGTATGTGCATTTTAACTCTCTGTGAGGGGTTTGTAGCATGAAGCATTTCCTCTATCATAGCCAAGATTCCACAGAACATACTTTGGGAAATGTTCCTTTAGACTGATTGAAAGAAATTAATACTCCAATTTTTATGTAGCCCCTAAAAAGCAAAACAGTTAAAAAAAAAAAAAAAAGGCTAACTACAAGAAAGTTAAATAGAACCACACAAAAATGTTGTTTATAGCAATAAGAATATTAGAGACATTAAGCAATCAAGACAGTACAAAAGGTTCAGAGAATTTATGTTAAAATTGTTTGAACCAAACCTTACATAAAACCAAAGTGCTTTAGTGCTGCCCAAGCTGTGAAACACACAAGAACATGCCATCATTCAGCAATGGTTTACCATTGGAGTAGCAGCTATAAATTTAAAAAGTGGTTTCTTGAATAAAGTCTTATTTCTGCTTATTATTCCACTGCAAAAAAAATAATTAACAAAAACAATTTTACAATAGCCCTAATCACTGCAACTTCTAAATGTTTAAGAAACTTTATAAAAGAGAGTTTGGTAATTTTTAAATTCTGCTTGTAGCCAAATGGGTGAAAATAAAACATATTTTTATGATTAGATAAAGCAGCAACAGGGTACAAAGAATTTTCCTCCATGTCACGGAATTAGTATAGTTTCCACCCTAAAGAAGGTGTCTTTCCTATTAAGATTTTCCATACTCCAAAGTCATTAGTCACCATCAACAAATAAGTTTAAAATATGAAAAGAATATTAAAATGAAGTACATTAAGGACCATAATAAGTCTCCTTAAGGCTCTCTTTAGCAGAAATACATGAATCTGGACTTACTTTAGAAAAGGCAAAAAGGGAAAATAAATAAATAAATTTGCACTGTAGCTTAAATACTGAGATGGAGATATATGTTAACTTTTCAAACAAAATTATCCTGTATGAATGTACAATATTTTAAAACTTCTTTTTTTGAGATAAGGTCCAAATGTTAAAGAATTTCATACACAGCAGAGGCTCAAAACTATTTAGGAGAAAGTTAACAACTTTAAAATGTGTGTTTTACAATTGGTGAGTGTGGGTTAAGAATATAAGGAAGTTCCTTACGCTAATCTTTTTTTTTTTTTGAGAGAGGATATTCCTAAGCTGAGGCGATCCTTCTGCTAAGCCTCCTGTGTAGTTGTGCCATGTAGTAGTAGGTATGTGCCATCACAGTCAGCTAACTTTTTTATTTTTTGTAAAGACGAAGTCTCACTGTGTGGCCCAGGCTGGTCTTGAACTCTTGGTCTCAAGTGATCCTCTTGACTCAGCTTCCCAAAGTGTTGGGATTACAGGCATGAGCCACTATACCCAGCCCCTTATTCTATTTTTACAACTTTTCCGTAAGTGTAAAGTATACCAAAATAATGGTTTTTAAAAACTTGTTCAGAAACTCATAAAAAAAATGAAAAGCAATTTTTAAAAATCTCATAATTAAATTTTAAAACTGAGTACTACACACACGTGCACATGATTAGGCTCCCCTACAAACACCCTTCAAGGGAGACCAATTAAACTCTCAACTCCAGCTTCTAGTAAGTGTTTAAGGCACTTCATTTTAAATATGAATTCATAGCCAAGAGTCATAGAATGCTTGAGGAAAGCCTCTAATGTGAATGACAACAGAATAACAAACAAAGGCACCATGAAGGAAACAAAAAATGTAGGGAGCTAAAAACACATTAAAAATTAAATGGCTTCAGAGATGAAAAAATATTGCATCCTTAAAAGAATGATTGCTATAAAAATGAACATCCATATAAAAGATAACTCTTGGAAATAAAATTATAACAAATAAAAATTCACTGGATAATAAAGTTAAAGAAATTTCCTAGAAAATAAAATAAAATGGCAGAGATAAAAATAGAAGAGAAATTATAAGATAATCAGATCATCAGTCCAGAGGCTCCAACACTCAGCTAATAAGAATTCCAGAAAAATTGGAGAGGAATAATTTCTTTTTAAACACAAGAAAATTTCTCAAATGAAGAATGAGTTTCTAGATGGAAAAAGAGTTCACCTAGTGCCCAGCACAAAAAATTCAAACCAATGTTCAGTGAAATTTTCAAACATCCAGTAACACAACATCAACAATTTTTTTACAAAGACCAAGGGGGAGATTGAGGGAGAAACAAATCTCCAGCTACAGCTGAGCAATCAGAATGGCAAGAGGCCTCAATACCCACCCTGGAGCTGCACAACAGAATCTACCAGATACTTCAAAAAGGTTTGATTAATTGAATCAGAATATCTAGTGGTAGGGCCCAGACATTCACAGTTCTTAAAATTCTCCAGATGATTCCAATCATTCTGCAGCCAAGGTTGAGACCCAGAACATAGTGATGCTCTCAAAATTCTGAAGAAAAGTGAATTCCAACTTGGAAGGCACCAACATAGCTAAATTATCAATCAAGTATGAGACTAGAAGAAATTTTCAGATCTACAAGGTCTCAAAAATTTATCTCCCTTCACCTTTACTCAGAAAAAGAGTGCATCTGCCAAACTGAGAAAGTATACTGAGGAAGAGAAAAAAAAAAAAAATCCAGAAACAGGTTATTTAATTCAGGATACAAAGATGAAAGAAATTCCCAGAATAATGATAAAAGCAAGTTCAAACATGATTGCTATTTGGTGTACCTAATATGCAACCAATCCTGATTAAAGCAAGAAGACCCGGCACTTTGGGAGGGTGAGGTGGGCGGATCACAAGGTCAGGAGATTGAGACCATCCCGGCTAACACTGTGAAACCCTGTCTCTACTAAAAATACAAAAAATTAGCCAGGCATGGTGGTGGGCACCTGTAGTCCCAGCTACTCTGAAGGCTGAGGCAGAAGAATGGCGTGAACCCAGGAGGCAGAGGTTGCAGTGAGCTGACATTGTGCCACACTCCAGCCTGGGCAACAGAGCGAGATTCCATCTCAAAAAAAAAAAAAAAAAGCAAAACACAGGAAACTACAAAACATATGGGGGGGGTGGAAATAGAAAGATGAAGTTGATAGATTAGTTGGTGTCTGACCATATTACAAAACTGAGAAGATTTCACAGTATTGTCAAAAAGCTCAAGCTGAATTAGGGGGAAGTAGGTTTAAAAAAAATAATAATGTGCACAAATAACTGTCAATTTGTAAACACCAGGAAAAACAAAAAGTTGTATGGAAAAGCAACTACCAAAGTATGCCATGTGGTTCAGCTGTCAAAATTATGTAAACAATAAATTGTGATTTAATAAAAAATTATATAATTTTTATTATATATAAAAAACATTGAGAAGATGAGCATCGAGGGAGTGTAAAACGGCTAATTCTCACCTTCCAAAGTAGGAGATGAACACTTACACTTTTGAAACTAAGAAATCTATAAACAGTAATACAAGCATGCAATATGGAAACGCAGACACAAAATAAATGAAACAGTAAAAAGAATAGAAAATGACTGGCTCCAGGTAATGACAGTTAGGAGTGAGAGGAACCAAGGAACTGATGTGTTTTGTCATTAAGTCCTGCAGGACATTTGACATTAAGCTATGTTCATGTATTACTTTTAAAGCTATGTTCATATATTACTTTGATTAAAATTAAAAGGCACAGGACTGACCACAGTTTTCAGGGAGACTTGGGTGGAATGTGAGGGCCTACATAATTTACCCCTATTCAGAGGTATGTACTTTAAGGGCTTTAATCCTGTACATACAAGATTCTTTACTGTCCTAGAGAAATGAGTCAGAGAGCATGGTCATAAAGCATTCTTCCTCTTCCTACAAATCTTTAGGAAGCAGATCAATAATCTAAGAGAAAAAAACCTTTATTCCAAAATGTTGGGGCATTTAACAATTTTAAGTACTGTCATTCAAAAAGTTATTTTAGATTAAATACTTTTAAGGAATTTCCTGACAAAATATTGCATATCAGGAAATAAAATTCCTAGTAAAATTTTTTACTCTGACATTCTAATTGGTATTATGAAAAATAAATTATTTATTAATGGATAAATGGTAAATTGTTATAACCCAAGATATCCCAACTGACATTTTTTATGTTTTTACATTCAAAATTAGCAATTTGCAGTGATTAATAATATGTAGAAACACTATAATGAAAAAATATAAAAACCACTAACATCAGATGCGGAAAGAAATGTCTAAGAACTGTTTTCCCTTCTAATAAACATACTCAATGTGATTCTTTGAAATGCTTTGAAATTTTCCTCCAAATTATCTAATTAATTTCAGAAATCCAACTTGGTGGATTTTTAGAATTCCCATTACAGCACTTATTATACTGCATTTTAATTTTCTGTCTACCTGTCTCTAACTCTTGATAAACTGTCAGCTCAGCAAGGCTTGGTACAGTTTCTCCTAGTCGCTGGCATATAGACCCTTATCACAGTACAGCACATTGCCTGGCACATGGGAAACACTAAGTATTTTTTAAGTAAATGAACAAACACATAATTTGACTTGAGTATCTTTTACCTAATTTAGAATCTATTTCTTGCTTATAAAGATAATGCTTAAATATGAGACAATTAGCATTGCATACATATAGGAGGAAGGTGAATGAAAAAGTACCTTTCAATTAGTGTTCCATTTTGAATCATCCAAACATCGCAATACGTTCGAGACACCAGCATAACAGCAATAAGTACCAAGTAACCTGTCTAAAATAAACCAGGTATAGTAAATTAACTAAATGCATTTTAGAAAGTTCAAAGAAATATTACCTTGGTAACAATTTTTGGTTTCCAAATCTAAAGCTTTATGTAAGCTTTAATACAGTTGGCTGACATTTTTTCTATGAGCAATTTTAAATATAGTTAAAAGGGAACTCAAGAATATTACATAAATGAAAAAGACCTCATAGATTCATTTAATCTTTCTCATTCAGAATTCAAAAGTGATTTCAAGGCAGGTCAAAGGACTTGCCTTCATATACCTAGTCAAGGACAGAAGCTAGGAATATAACTTAGATTACCCAGATTATAGTGTACTGTTATTTTCTTATATTTTTAACATACAACTTTAACAAAGAAAAAAGACAGTAACTGTAAATATACAGCTAACTAACCAAAACTGAAGCCTACAATTTTGCCTAGGTAGAATAAATTCGGTTTAATTTGTTAAAAAAACTTACAATAGTGTCCATGCCCTCACAGGGCTTTCAATTTAGTTATGAAGGGAAGAATTATACTTTAAAAGTAGCAGACAAATTTAGGCAAACATATTTGTATCACTTCATGTCCTAAGCTGTGGGATGGGAAGGTTTGGGGTGCCAAAAGACAGTTATGGCATTAGAAATACGATAAATAGTAAAACAAAAAAGAGAATGAGGATTAAGGGTAAAAAAGATGAAGGATTTAATGGGAGAAAAAAGGGATTAAAATCACATGAACTATGGTACTGTACTGAGTTTATACATATAAAATTATTGCAAGCTTCTCAGTAGAACAAAAAGTGATGTTAAAAAGTGACGTTTAAAGAATATTACTTAAGCAATGCTGTGCAAGACAGATTACAAAGCAGGGAAAGTCAAGACACTGGGTAGGAATCAGTTATCTTTCTGTGAGATGAGAATCCTGCCACCTCAACCCCAAGTACATACATTTAAAGCTGATCTTAAATTTTCTAAATTGGAAGAATAAGACAGTGACATAGAAGCCAAAGTAAGGGAAGAAGGCCTGCAGAGGGTGGGAGGCTGGCCAAATTAGCCCCTTCTACCTCCCTTACTAATTCCCAGGGACTCATCCAATATCTCCAATTTGTTTTACATTCATTGAACTCCTGCAATAGTTGAAATGAACATTAAGCTGTTAACTGATTGGAAGGTAATATACAAATCTTTCCAGAAAAGCTTGTATTTTAAATAAGGATTCTTCAAAGGCAGGAGAGTTGTAGAAATGAGAGAAAACAATTAGTTATGCCTGAAGAGTCACTGGAAATATTCACAAAAAAGATAATAAGCATTAATCAATTTTTAAAAACATATTTGTTTCTGTTGTGGGGACGGACAGGATGTCACAGACATGATGTTGTAAACAAATGAAAGGTTGAGGACATAGGGCCAGATCATAAAACAATAATCTCCTAAGCAGATGATATTAAAAGGAAGGCCAAAGTCAGGTTGTAATTCACCCTATAAGAAAAAGGAAGTCATGGCCGGGCGCGGTGGTTCAAGCCTGTAATCCTAGCACTTTGGGGGGCCGAGACGGGCGGATCACGAGGTTAGGAGATCGAGACCATCCTGGCTAACACAGTGAAACCCTGTCTCTACTAAAAATACAAAAAATTAGCCAGGCACGGTGGCGGGTGCCTCTAGTCCCAGCTATTCGGGAGGCTGAGGCAGGAGAATGGCGTGAACCCAGGAGGCGGAGCTTGCAGTGAGCCGAGATCCAGTCACTCCACTCCAGCCTGGGCGACAGAGCAAGACTCTGTCTCAAAAAAAAAAAAAAAAGAAAGAAAGAAAGAAAAAAGAAGTCACATGTTTTCATCAGAATTTTAAGAAAGAATACAAACTGGAAAAGGAAAAGAAGCAAAAAGACCAATTAAGATCTAATAATCCAGGTAAGATATAGTGAGAACGATAGGAATGTAAAGGGAGAGAATAATTTATGAGAAACTTTAGGATACTTAGAAAGAACATTTATAATATAAGGGAAGGAGCAGATCTTAAAAGTGTGTGATCTCATTTTTAAGTTAAAATATATGCTTGCACACAAGATGACTATATATCAAAATGAGTAAGAGGCTGATAGGTGCCAAAAAAAAATCTGGCTGCATTTTCTAATTTTCTTCAAGCACCATGTATTACCTCTGTCTAATTAGGAAAAAACAAGTGCCATTACTTTTTTAAAAAAGAATTTCTCAAGGGCAGAATCATCAGGACATGATGCCAAGGTTAGGGGAAGAGCAAATCCAGCATGATGAAGAAATGGACGTTGTCTTTGGGAACTACAATGCTTTTTTAACAGTTAAGTATAGGAAAAATTAGCAGATCCCAGTGATCAAAAAGGGTGACAAGGGGAAGAGGAAGAGTTGAAGGTAATGATATTTCTAGTTACAGAATGAGAGAATGCTGAGGAAGATGGAGAACACAGCATTATTTTAATAATCATTAAAAATGTTTATCAAATAATGAAGATAATCTTGATAAAAGAGCAAAGGAACGAATTATAAAACTATTCATATAATCAGCTCACTTCCTGAAATACCTGATGAATCCAGGTATCATTTTGGTTATCTTAAAAATATTTAATCAAATACATTCCACACTAATGTGACTTGTTAACATCTCAATGTAATAAAAAGGTTTGTCTTTTGACATTTAATCCAGTTTTTATTGACAGTATTTAATTATAACAAAGCAATACCATTTGAGGTAGCTGCACGGCAATATCCTAGTATTTCACATAAAATGAAATAATATTTCATAAACAAGAGAAAACTACTTAAAAACTGGCACTGAACACGGGTTTTTGTATGGCAGGGATGATTTAAAGACAAAAATTTAGTAGTCTTCTTTACCTACAGAGAAAATTTGACCTATAGTATAACCAAAGAGTTATGATTTTATTGCTCTAATCTTATGTAACCTTGAAAGTTGAACACCTAATAATATAATTTGGGTATCTGTCTCCACCCAAATCTCATGTTGAAATGTAATCCCTAGTGTTGGAGGTGGGGCCTGGTAGGAGGTGTTTGGGTCATGGAGGCAGATCCCTCATGGCATGGCACTGTCCTCCAGATAGTGAGTGAGTTCTCATGTATCTGGTTGTTTAAAAGCACGTGGCACCTCCTCGGCCCTTTGCTCCCTCTCTCGCCATGTGAGACACTGGCTTCCCCATTCACCTTGAGCTGTGATCACCAGCTTCCCAAGGCCTCCCCGGAAGTGGAGGATATGCTGCGCCATGCTTGTACAGCCAGCAGAAGCATGAGCCAATTAAATCTCTTTTCTTTACAAATTACCCAGACTCAGGTATTTTATTCAAGAATGGTCCAATATACTTAAGATTATAATTTCATAAGACTTACCTCTTTACAAAATGTTCTAGGGACCATGATTTTCAGAATCTGTGCGAGCCTTGAGAAAAACACCTTGTCCACCACAGCTCGCTCCTTTTTCCCCTCTTTCTGCATTAAAAACAAGAAGCCCTTTTAAGATCGCTATAACAAATGTATCATAAAATTAAAGAACCATGTTTCATCTAAGTCAATATAAACAGTTACCAAGATAAATACTGAATTTACAAAGCCCAGACTTGCATACTTACACTGCTCCTCATATTCAAACATGTTTTTGAGAAAATAATGTTATCTAAAAACTGAATAAGGAAGTGAGTTCTGGAACCACATAATTATCTGGATGAAGAAAACTGCAAGCAGAAGAAATAGCAACTGCAAAATACCAAGGTGAATGCCTGCAACGTGCTTGAGGAAGAACAAAATGGCCAAACTGGCTGCAGCTGTGAGGAAGGTACCATCACAGAGGATGAGGTCAGAGAGACAGCTGAAAAAAAGGCCAAGGGCTTACTGAGTTTTGTATTAGCCACTTCCTGATTAACACCATATTTAAAAAAAAAAAAAAAATCCTGAACAGAATTTTCCCTGATACCAAATATAGGAAATTTTTGGATTCCTAGATTTACCATTTAACATTTCCAATATACAGTCTGTCAATTCACTCTCTCTTCCTCATAAAATTCAAAGACAGACAAGGTTCTTTCACTCATGCAGCTCACATTCTAGCGGGAGAAACACAGACAAAAAATCAACCAATAAATAAATTATCACGGATAGACCAGGCAGGGTCATGAGGAAAAAAAAAAAGAACAGTTTACACAGGATGGTCTGAAAAGCCTCTTGACATTTAAGCTTAGACACAAAGAAAGAAAAGCCATGTGATTATTTAAAGCGGGTACGAGGGTGGAGGGAGTGAAGCACAAGGAACACCAAGCACAAAAATACGTGTTGGAAATAAAATAGGTGTGCACATTTCACAGCAAGATGGCAGTATTGCTACAGCAAAGGGAACAAGAATGAGAGAAGTTTAAAAGGTAGGCAGGGCTTATAAAGGACAGAGGCTTAAAGCCACAGTAAGGACTGAGAGCTTACTGTTAGTGTAGAGGGATTTAAAAGAAGATAATCTTACCTCTCTCAAGAGTTTTTTCATTTTCACTAGCTCCATGAAAATGGAAGTACTAAACCATTTGCAAAGATAAGGAAACAAGTGACGAGACATTACTCTTGAACTGTTTGGGAGAATAGACAGGGGAAACTTCTTGGAAAAGGCAAGATACTCCAGAAAAACCCCAATTCCCTGACTGTTTCCCCACCTCCATAATCACAGCTCACTTATCTGGCTAACTCCTGAAAACAAATACCTGTTTCTATTTGTAGAGTACCTCTATTAGCTAGATATAATGTAAATGTGCTTTGATTAAATAAATATCTCACTAGATGAGCCTTAAGTGAACTGTTTGGGTACCGAATTAGAATAATAATAACTACCAACTATATGTCAGACACTGTGCTAAGGCTTTATAGACATTATCCTAATAAACAGGCACTGAGTGCAGTGCAGAACTATAGGCCACAAAAGGAAGTCTGAAGGCATTGTGTTCATAGGATTAGACTAGAAAGACTACAATAGGAGGAACTGGAGAAGAATCAGCCTAACCTGCAACTGCTGGAACAGAGACTCAGCATTTCAAGTCTTTCAGATAAAGTTGAAAACCTCATCCTACTGACTTGCAGGCTCAGTCTGCTTAATTCATACATGCATGCATTCATTCACTCAACAAACAACTACTTGATCCAAACCCTATTCCAAATGATATGGACACAACAGCAAACAGAACAGAGAAATAAGCCCTACTCACAGTCCATTTAGTTGAACTAGCGTATTCTCCTCAAGCTAAACCTTACACATTCAACCTAATCTCTGTTTGTGTTTTCCCCAAACCCGGAAAACATAGGAAGAAACGAGTAAAGAGAAGGCCATACATACTAACTACCTTCAAAAAAAAAAAAAAAAAAAAAAAAAGTTAAACTATTTGTTCTTCCTCCTGTCACCATCACCACTCCCTCCTCACTTCAGCTTGCCTTACCTGTAGCCAACACCCTTCTCCATTCCTAGCTCCAACTTTTAAGTGGCACAATCCTGAGGTGAAACGGACATCTGAGTTAAACAGAAGACCACCTGTTTCTAGCTACTCTAAAGAAATGATCTAGGACAAACAATGAGGAAGGTTAGAAAAAAAGAGTTACAAGAGAGTAAAGTTGAAACACTTTAAAATATTAGTTGCTAACTGGTATAAAATTCCTCATTTTCTTCCGTTCCTGTTGTCACTTTCCCTATCCTTAAACTGACTGAAAGCTGAGGGATTTTCATTACATTTCAATCCATGAAGGGAACTAACTATATTCTCCCAAATTATCACTGTTTTCTGCAAAGGACCACCTGGACGGGGAGGTTGGCTCAGAAGGGCTGAATTCAAAGAGATGTCAGGAATAGGAGAGTATCCTGATCACAGCAAAACTCTACCTGAAACCAATCTAAATAAGAGGAACTATAGAGGCAGTATATTTCATAACATTACTAGCCTTTCCTAAGATTCCATTTTAAATTCACAATGAACTTTTCCCACTTCTAAACTTTCCAGTAATTTTTTTAAATACAAAAAGAGACCACTTTTCCCACTTCTAAACTTCCCAATAATTTTTTTAAATACAAAAAAAAAGACCACTGTGGTGATATAAGTTTAACATGAACATTATAGAAAAAGCAAACAAATCATTAAAAGCTATGTGAGAAGTCAAAGTAATAACGTAACAAAGGAAAAAAGAAAACCTAAAATTCAAAAGGTAACAAGGTCAAAGTACAATGAGAAGTTCCTATTGATATGTCAATCACCTTAGGTGAGACTGACTGAAAAAGAAGTTTGAAATAGCAGTAAAATAAGAGGCCATGTAGTGCTGACACAGTATAAGTATTCCTGTATATTGTAGGGAAAAATGAAAACTGGTACAACTATTATATATCATTTATCAAAATGTAAAATGTACACTGACTGTAAAATGTAAAATAACCTAGTAAATTTACTTTCAGGAACTTACCCTACAAACATACCTGCACATATGCTTAGCCACACAAATGAAAACATCGTACTCTGTTTATAATACCATAAAATGAAAAATAACCTAAATGTATACCAATATTACATAAATCATAGCAAAATTATTCAATGAAAACTCTATAACAACTGTAAAAAAGAAAGCAGCTCACATACATAGAAACAGAATATGCAAGAGCAAGTCTACAGCTTTAAACATGGAGTGATCTAAAAAACAGTATGCTGGAAAAAATTAGAATGATGCATGCAATTCATTTTACACATGAATTTATGAAACTTTTAAATATGTAAAGTAATTCTCCCTATATTGTTTATGGATACACACACATGCCAAAATACAAAAATATGCATGGGAATGCTAAATACTGAACCCAGCACAGTACTTATCTTTATACATTTTGAATTTCATTATACTGTTCTCTTTCTAATTAAATCCTTTTTTCTCCTTAAAATTTATGTCTTATGAAAATTGCCTCTCCCCACCCTATCCCCATCACAAAGGATATACAAAATTTCTATGAAAATAATAGGTTAAATTGCTTTCCTCAAAAGTAACATATTCACTGTAGAAAAATTAGAAAATTCTGATAAGCAAAAATAAGAAAACTAAACCTACTGTCTTTGTTACATATCCTACTAGATTTCATTTTAGCACACGTGTGCACTTCCTATAAATTTAACAAATGTGGTATCAGTGTGCATCTTGTGTCCTTTTTATTGCCAATCACTTAATATAACCTAAATTTATCTTGCTCACACTATGCAACCAGCAAATAAGTATATGCTAAAACAGTATTGTACAGAAAAATAAGAAAAAAATGAGTAAAATGAATCAAGCTGTCCTAGAACTTGCAGATCTCCGATATGCAAATAACAGATATGACTAAGTTCAGATAACTAAGATTTGATTGCTCAGATATAACTTAGATATGAGAGATCGTGGAGCTGGAGATATCAGAGAAGTGAACATAAGCACATCTTACCACATTTTTCAAAGACTGGGAAGGAAATATTATGGAAACTAAAGAATGACAATCTTGATGTCAATCACCAGGATATTCAGAGAACAGACACTGACATGGAGAGTTGGGGAAGACTTAAGAGACACTAATCACTAGAAGCCAGCATGAGTTTACTAAAAGTACATCATGTTAAACTGTTCCAATTTTCTTATTTGTTAAGGATACCATACTAGCATACTAGCTGATATGTAGAATGTAAGCTCCATGAGGATGGAAACTTATTTTTATAACTGTCATATACCCAGAGCCAAGAACAATGCCAAGCATATATGAGGAGCTCAATAAATATTTACTGAAAGATTGACTTACTAAGTGAATTAATAAATTAATAAAGGAATTAGATGTTTCTTATAAAATTATTGTAGCCTTAATGGAGAAATAAGAACCAGATTTTGCTATAATTGGACGTAGTCACAGCTGAATAACCAGAAACAAAGATTAAGAGATATCACAGAGCAATCTCCTTGGTCCTTACATAGTCAATACTATCAGCAATTCTGTGAAAGAAAGGAAAGGCAAATTAAATTTGTAGATAATTCTTCTACTTAACACGCCAGATGTGAGAATTGCACTAAAAATTAGACTAATGGTATAGATAGTAGGTTAAACCCAATCAGCTGACATTTACAGCAATAAATTAATGTTTATCTAAAACAAATCAACTGAGTTAACATATCTGACATTTACAGCAATAAATTAATGTTTATCTAAAACAAATCAACTGAGTTAACATATGACCCAGCAATTCCACTCCTAGATATAGAAATAAAAACATATCTCTACATAAAAACTTGTGCACAAATTTTCATAGCAGCATTATTATTATTCATAATAGCCAAAAAGTAGAAACAATCTAAATGTCCACCAACTGATGAACTGATAAACATAATGTGGTATATGCATACAAAGAACACTATTCAGCAATAAAAAGGAATGCAATACTGATACAGCAACAATATGATGAACCTTGAAAACATTGTGCTAAGTGAAAGAAGCTAGGTATAAAAAGCCACATATTATATGATTTCATTTATTTGAAATGTCCAGAACAGGTAAGTTAACAGAGACAGAAACAGATTTGTGGTTGCCAGGGATTGGGGGAAGAGGGTAATAAGGAATGACTGCTAATGGGTATAGGATTTTTTTGGGAGAGATGAAAATTTCCTAAAATTAGGTAATGGTGATAGCCACACAACTCTGTGACTATACTAACTACTCATTTATACACTTAAATGGATAAATTTTATGGTATATAATTATAACTCAATAAAGCTATCATGTATATAACATGTAGAGATGTAGAGCTGTTTGTCAGAAATACACCTGAAGTTTATAATTTACCATAAAAAGTTCACTTAGTGTAAAAAATAGTAATAGTTAAAGAAATAAAAGCAATTTTAGGATGAAATTTAGCAATATTGTATTCATATCAAGAAATGTAATCATGCTGATATATTCCACGCTAGTCAGGCCACAACTGAACAACTACATTCCATTCTAAGCACAATGCCTAAGGAAACTCTTATAGGTTCAGAGGAATGTATACAGAACTGAAAAAGGATCAGAACCCATGTCACATTAGACATATTAGAAGGAATCAAGATTGCTTAGCACAGGGAAAGAAACACTCATAAGATACAACTATCTTCAAATATATGTGGGTCTACTAGAGAAAACAGAGCCAGACAAGGTGGCTCACATCTACAGTCCTAGCTACTTCGGAGGCTGAGGTAGGAGGATCCTTAGAGCTCAGGAGGTCAAGGTTACAGTGAACTATAATCATGACACTGCACTCCAGCCTGGATGACAGAATGAGACCTGGTTGGTAAAAAGAAAATTTTAAAGAAAAGAGAAGAAAAAGAAAAAAGAGGGAAGGGGAGGGGAGGGGGGAGGGAAAGAGTGGGGGGACAAGATATATCTCGATATAAAAGATATAACAGAGTCACTGCTAAGAAGCTAGAAGGGGGGAAATTAATATCATCATGGGCTAGAACTAATGCAGTTATGGTTGCCTCCTAAGGTAACACTTTCCTGTCAGGAGTCCTATTTCAGACAGCATTCCTGTAATGTGTAGAAGACTGGAGGGATTTTTAAGTTCCCTACTAATTATAAAATTTTATCCTAAATCAGAGCCATATAACAAAATAAATGAAATAAATACATGAAATCCCAAAAAGAAGATGATTTAAAATGTTACCTCATTGTTCTGTAATGGTGGTTTTCCACTTTTCTTACTGCAGAGGAAAAAAAGAGAGAGCTTTACTTTATGTGAAAAGCGTTATCATTAAAATGATTTTAAGATGTCAAATATACCAAATTATTTAAAAGCGTTTCTTCTTTTTCATATCATAGTGAGATAGAACATATTAAATAATAATAGTCCGGCTGACTCTTACTAAGCATTATTTACAAAAAGTGCTTAATACATTTTAACTATCACTATTATATAACATTCTGTTTGGTAATTTTTAGGCACGTGTGTGTGTAAATACAAACATAAATGCAAGTCTACTTCCTCATCCTCGAATCACAGCTTGGCCATGTAAACCGCTTTGGCCAATGGGACATCAACAAACTGACAGAAACAGAGGCTTGGAAGATGTGCATTGCTCCCTCTTACTGCTGGGAATCTTTCCCCAACCACGTGAGCAATCCCAGGCTAGTCTTCTAAAGGATGATAGAATATGTGTCATTCCCATATTACAAATGAGGAAAGTGGCCTGGAGAGAGTAAGCAGTATGCCCAAGGTTCATATTCTGACTACCTAGGCTACCTCTCAAAACAATATGATTAGCTGGGCATTGGTCCTTTCCATAACGCACTACCATGGCACCCTATGCTTCTACATAACATTGATAACATTTTAAATTTCTTGTTTGATGTATATTCCCTTCCACTAAACTAGCTCCATGCTATCAGGAGCTACTGCAGGCTGGTTTCTCTGAGGCTGAGGTAATATGGTGTCTGAGGTACAAATGTTCACTAGGGATAAACACCTGTGAATGAAAGGCAGAGAAACCAGGTTTGGACAGAACTCAAACTGATGCAAGCCCAACATAACTTCAGCCAACCATATAGGAAGTTCTAAAGCAAGCACTGTCCATCAGAGTACTCTGTGACGGGCTGAAATAGTCAGGCCTTTTTTACCTCTGCCTTGCTCAGTCTGCAAATGCATGCTGCCCCAGGAAGTCTGTGACATGAGGAGAGGGGAGTGTCTCTAGACCTGAGCCAGACTCTAAGGTGGGGGACAAGGGTGGGGAAAGAGGGGGCTGTCAGGATCTCACATTTCTCACAGCTGGGCAGTAAACCCTTCTTTAAAGGGGAATCTGAGTCTACTACAGGGGTCATACATTATTCAACCCTCTATGTTCAACATCCTATTTGAACTCTGATGATCTGCAGAATGCACATCTTCAGTAATAAGATACCAGTCACCAAACAAGACTAGAAAGCCAAACTTAACTACAGTAGATGTTTTATTTTAAAAAGCACGTAAGTTATTATTATTTCTAACTTCAGTTGTATTATAGGATTACTTGCCTGTTTAAAATCTTTTATGAATTGTAAAACAGTTATACAAAATGCATTTTAGCACGACAAAAGAAACAATGCAGTGAAGAGATACACTATGGGAGAAAATATTTGCAACCATACACCTGATTAGGGGTTAATATCCAAAACATATAAGGAACTCAAACAACTCAACAGCAAGGAAACTATCCAATTTTAAAAAACGAGGAAAGGACCTGAATAGACATTTCTCAAAAGACATATAAATGGCCAGCTAGTATGTGAAAAATGCTCAACATCACAGATCATCAGAAAAATGCAAATCAAAACCACAATGAGCTAACACTCATACTTCTTAGGCTGACTACTGTCAAAAAGATAAAAGATAACTGTTGGCAAGGACGTGGAGAAAAGAGAACACTTGTACATTGTTGGTTGAGAAGAATATAAATTAGTACAACCATTATGGAAAACAGTATGGAGGTTCCTCAAAAAAATTAAACATAACTACCATATGATCCAGCAATCTCACTTCTGGGTGTAGATCCTAAGGAAATGAAATCAGTATCTCAAAGAGGTATCTGCACTCTCATGTTCCCTGCAGCATCATTCATAACAGTAAAAGATATGGAATCAACCCAAGTGTCCATCAAGAGAGGAATGGATAAAGAATTTGTGGTATATAAATACAATGGAATAAATTCAGCCTTTAAAAAAAAGGAGCTGAGTGCGGCAGCTCAGGCCTGTAATCCTAGCACTTTGGGAGCCCGAGGCAGGAAGACTGCCTGAGCTCAGGAGTTCAAGATCAGCCTGGGCAACACGGTGAAACCCTGTCTCTACTAAAAGGCAAAAAAATAGCTGGGTGTGGAGGCATGCACCTGTAGTCCCAGCTACTTGGGAGGCTGAGGCAGGAGAACTGGCTTGAACCGGAAGGCGAAGGTTGCAGTGAGCTGAGATTGCGCCACTGCACTCCAGCCTAGGTGACAGAGCAAGACTCTGTCTCTAAAAAAAAGAGGAAATTCTGTCATTTGCTACAACATGGATGAACCTGGGGGACATTAAACTAAATAAGCCAGGCCCAAAAAGACAAATTCTGCATGATCTCACTTACATGTGGAATCTAAAAAAGTCAAACTCATAGAAGCAGAGAGTAGAATGGTGGTTGCCAGGGGCTCAGGGGTTGGGGGAAATGGGGAAAAGTTGGTCAAAAGGCACAAAGTTCAGTCACGCAAGATGAGTAAGTTCTGGAGATCTAATGTACAGGATGGTAAATATAGCTTGATAATAGTAATCATTTCACAATGTATATGTATGTATATCAACATAAAAATAAAAAAAATTCAATAAAAATGCCACACTGCTTACCACTAATAAATGTTATAAGTTGATAATTAGAGATAAGAGGAGATTCATGCACTGCGATGCTCACAAAAATAATACACATGTACACACACACCTACCAGTGAGTCACATGGTCAGTCAGCTCTCCCATCATTTCATCACTTTTGTCTCTCCAAGTTTCCATGAAACACTTTGTTCAGAGGGAACCATGACATCTTATAAAGCTTCAATTGGCCTGAACACATAATCTACACATAAGTCCCATTTTCTTTAATCAGTCTGTGACAATTAAAATTTCTTGGCCAGGTGCAGTGGCTCACACCTGTAATCCCAGCACTTTGGGAGGCTGAGGCAGGAGGATCACTTGTCGGGAGTTTGAAACCAGCCTGACCAACATGGTGAAACCCCGTCTCTACTAAAAATACAAAATTAGCCGGGTGTGGTGGTGCATGCCTGTAATCCCAGCTACTCGGGAGGTTGAGGCAGAAGAATCACTTGAACCCAGGAGGCGGAGGTTGCGGTGAGCCAAGATCGTGCCATTGCACTCCAGCCTGGGCAACAAGAGCAAAACTCGGTCTCAGAAAAAAAGAAAAAAAAAATGCCTTTATAAGTTTCTTAAAAGTTTCTTTATGAGATTTGTTTCTCAAGAAGTTCTATGAAAATACCTTTCACCTGTAATTATCACTATAAAAGAAATTTTTAATGGCAAAATAATTCAGCATGAGTACAGAAGTTGAAGTTGATTTTCTTGATTTTACATTAATACACATTAGCCTGATCTACATTCCAATACAGCAGGTTTATCAGACATGCGGGCTCCAGATGATCACTTAGCAAGTGTTTAAACACAATACTGGCACCAAAAGCCGTGTAGCATGATAGTACATGGTGGTGTACATCTGCAATCCCAGTTACTCAGAAGGCTGAGGAAGAAGAATGGCTTGAACCCTGGAGGCGGAGGTTGCAGTGGGCCAAGATCACGCCACTGCACTCCAGCTAGGGTGACAGACCAAGACTTCATCTTAAAAACAAAGGAAGAAAGTTCTATAAGGATTTAGACCCTGAAGAACTCATCTTTAGACCTATTATCTCTAGATCATAGAGATACTATTCTAGACCACCTCAGTCAAACCACAAAATCAACTATCTACCCTTTCTCTGACCCCCTCCCTCAAAATCTCTAGCTTCCTCCTCTTTCTTGAGCTCCTGACTTGAATATCTGAATTTTAATAAGGTATCTGTACCTGGATTTAATGCAAACATGTCTATATCTGAACTCACCTTTCCACCCCAAATCTATTCTTCCATTATTCCCTACTGAACATACGCCCTAAATCAGTGAACACACCTTTATCTACCAGCTACCCAAACTACAAAGCTGTGAGTTATTCTCAGATATTTATTTTCCCTTTCTCATACACTTCATTTCCAATCTCTCTCTATGCTCTTCTTTCCATTTCTACTGCTATGATTTCAATTCGGGCCATCAAAATTTCTCATGTGAACTATTACAATATTCTCACTTGTTTTCTGAGTTCCTTATCATTCGTTTCTGTCCTCTTTCAATTTATTTCCATAACCACATCAAATATGTGCATATGTATATACATACTGAATATGTATACACAAGTACATATACATATGCACAGCCATACATAAATGTATAGACCACATACATATATATAAAATATATATCCTGTGGCATTCACCTACAGCAATGTTCAGAACCTTATTTATTTCAATAAAAAATGAAAAAAAAAGTTAATAACATAAGCATCCAACCAAAAGTTTACAAAGAACAAAAAAAAGCAGAAGAAATTTAAAACCACCCAAGCAGAATCTAATGAGTTAGAAAACAAAATACTAATACATTAAAATTCAAGAGTTAATTCTTTGGAAAATAAATCATGAGACAATCTAATTTTAAAAGGAGTACAAAAACACAAAAAATAAAAGAAAAAAAAATGAGCATGAACATAGATAAAATTTGAAGGAAAAAAAAGGTAAAAGACTTCTTATCTCAACCCTATGTAAAGAATTTTGAAAGTCTGAATGAAATGGGTAGTTTTCTAGAAAAATATAATTTTCCAAACCTAGCAGAAAGAAAACTAAACAGACTGAAAAACTGAAATTATAAAGTTGTCTGAGAGCTGCCTACCTCCTACCCTTCCATTCCCCCAAAAAAGAACCAAACCCAAACAATTTACTGGGGAATGCTAACAAAACCCCCAGTGGACGGGTAATTCCAGTGCTTTAATTGTTTTAGGACACAGATAAAAGAGGTTTCCACATTATTTTTGCTGCAAGTAAAACACTGACAACCAAACTTGGGCAGGCTCACACCTGCACTTTGGAAGGTCGAGCACTTTGGAAGTCCAGGCGGGTGGATCCCAGCGCTTTGGAAGGCCGAGGCAGGTGGATCACTTGAGGCCAGGAGTTCAAGAACAGCCTGGCCAACATGGTGAAACCCTGTCTCTATTAAAAATACAAAACTTAGCTGGGCGTGCTGGCGCATGCCTGTAGTCCCAGCTACTTGGGAGGCTGAGGCATGAGAATCACTTGAACCTGGGAAGTGGAGGTTGCGGTGAGCTGAGATTCTGCCACTGCACTCCAGCTAGGGCAACACAGCAAGGCTCTGTCTCCAAAAACAAACAAACAAACAAAAAAAAACCACTGACACCAAAATCTAACAAAAATTAAATGAAGAAAACTACAAACTATTCCCACTTAAACCAACAGATTTTTTTTTTAATTTCAGACCATGAGAATGTATTGCCTATTCAAAAACTAAATAAATACCTTATAATTAAAATTTAAACATAAACATGCACATAATGACTTTCAGAATAAAATCCAAATTCCATAAAATAGTACTCAAAGAACTTCACAATCTGGCTCCTGCCTTCTTTTCAGGTTCATCTCCTGCCACTAGGCACAAACACTCTGTGCTCAAGTTACCTTCATCTATCAGCTTAAACTACGAGAACCTGCAATTATTTGACCATTTCTCACTTACAAAATGGCAACTGCACATGCTTCAACCTAATACTGTGCTCACTTTTACCCCACTATTTCCTCACATACTATTTCTTCTGCTTTAAAGGACTCTTCATCAATCAACCTATTTGATTACTACTTCTCTTTACAATTCAGCACATATCTTCTTGGAATGGAGTGGCCATGTATATTAAGTTTGCCCAGAATGGTCCGTGTTTACACCTGTTGTCCTGATATAATAATTAATTACACTCTTTCAGTCTCAAAACTGTACCAGTTAGGATAATAAATTACATGATGACCTTGTCTAAGAAACCTTCCTGTCCATTCTCTACTCTCACACAGTGTGTATTAGGTACACCCTCTGTGTTCTCTAGGCAATCTGTACATCATACCTCTCCCCTCATCAGCTTCTTGAGAGCAGGGGCCATGTCTTCTTCATCTCTACTCAGGCCTAAGACTATGTCTGATACACAGTAGGTACTTCTATCTTGTTTTGCCTTCTAAACTTTGTTTCACTTAGTATGTTAGTAAATTTCCTTTCACAAATATTTTTTAAAGGAAGATTTTTAGTTGAGTCAGGCCAAGACTTCTGGATTTTATCAACAAAGCAAAAAGATCTAAGTGACCAGATATGAAACTGTGAAACCTGCCAGGGCCAAGGCAGTAAACCAACCGGACCAGGTTAACCACAGAGCAGCTGCCTATGACAAGCAATCTTAGGAGTAGAAGGATACCCATCCTCACAACACCCGCTGGGTAAGACAATTGTTTTAAGGTACCATTTCAAAATAAATGCTCAGATGTTCAGCTACATTTGAATCCACTTCTTTTAGAAAACAACAACAAAAAAGGTAATTGCCATATCTCTATTACTTCTAGTACATAGAATATTTCTAAATAACTTGATTATTTTATCTAATTTTGAATATAATCACAACTTCACACTAAAAGACCCCTAGTTGGGCACATATTACTTTCACTGACAGCTTAAGTGTTTAAAAAGACACCACACGTTGATTCAGTACTGAAAATGCTCAAAAGTAGTTAAAGCCATGTCATAGGCTGATTATGTTAAACGTTGATGTTTTTGATCTACTAGAATTACAGACTAAGAAGCACTATCACAGTGAAAAAAAGGGAAACAGAAGATAGGAAGCCAATGAATATGCAGAATATAGAGTGAAGATAAGAAAGGTTAGAAATGGGCAGAAGTAGGCAGGAATGAATTATACAGGGCCTTTACTCTAACTTAAGATTTAGCCGAATATAAAGAAAATTGCCTTTTACTTTAAGAAACACTAATTTAGAATAATTAAGGAAATAGAATTGCAAAATGAAAATATGAAAGTGGAAACTCTACAAACTTATCAACACCCTACTACAAACCACAAGCTCTCCAGGTATATCATAAGTGACTTAAAGATTAACAGGTAAAGTATTTGCCCTCAAGGATTTCATAATCCAGCTAGAGAAAAATACAGATAAGCAACTATCATATCAGACAAAGTTAAGTATTATGGTCTAAACAAGGTGCTATGAAAAGCAAGAGCAACTAATGTTAACCCAAGGGGGAGAAAAAGTGAAAACTTTACTCCAGAAATGATGTGGAATCTAAACTTAGACTTAAAAAATAGATAGGATATAGGGTGAGATGATTAAAAGAATGATATTATGTTCTACCATAAGGGAACCTGATAAGCAAAAGAACTGATTTCTTAAGAGAGCAGGGTATATTAGAAGAAAGGAAAACAGTCTTTTCTAGTATGATATACAAAGAACGTACACGTTTCAGAAGGAGACGAAATCTCTTCAAATCCTGGTAATAGTTCAAAGTATACCTCCTAGAGAGTTCCTGGACTAGAATTCCAATTTGACTGTGTGCTAGCTGTGTGACTTTTGGCAAATTATGTAATCTCTCTGTACCTTAGTTCTCTCATTTGAAAAATGGAGGTAACAACACCATTAGCAAAAACATGTAAAGTCCTTATAATACAGCCTGGCATAAAGATTCAAAAAATGTTAGTGATTAATATTACACCATTTACCGGCTGTGTGACTGAAGAAAGATGTATCCTCTCTGTAATGGTGAGGACAATAATATTTACCTGTTAACTTTTGCCCTCAGTGATTAGAATGTATTAGGCACCCAAGGATTATCCCAAGATCAGAGATGATGAATGCCTG